TTAGAAGCTCTGACTTTTATGTAAAATCTCCTGATTTAAAAATGTTGCTAACTAATCCTAAATTAAAGAAAAATGCCGTGCAAGCCAAAGAGCACAATCTGCGTTTTGTTTGGGCTCCAGGGTCCTGGTTTTCAGCCTCTGTACCGTGGAGCAGGATGAGGCGGGAGCCTAAGGAATGAGACTTAGGAGTGGGAGAGGGGGCAGTGGTTCGAGATGACTTCAGAGGGGTGATGACTTTGGAACCGAGATCTTGAAAGATGAGTAAGTGTCCCAAGGGATCGGGAGGCATTCCAGGCAAGGGGAATTTCATCAGCAAAGGCCTCGATGCTTGCCTGAGATTGGTGACTGGCTGGGTGAGGCTGGAATTTAGGGGAAACTGCTGATGATATTTGCGAGGCCCAGCAGGCCCAGGGTGGTAGGGGTCATTAAGGTCTCAGCCCCAGCTGTCCTTGAGGCCTTGGTGGCTCCAGGGGGATTAGAAGCCCCTTAGTTCTTTACCCCTTGAGCCACGGGAGCTCTGGAGTGCAGGCGGGTGAGGAGGGCCTTGGGTGGTGGGTGGCAGCCTCTGAGTGGGTTGCAGGGGGGCTTGTGCTGAAAGCCCCCTTTGCTAGCAGGCTGAGTGGCCAGCACTTTGCTACAAAGCAACTGGCTTCCCCTCGCCTGCCCCCGCCTCAGGGTATTGGGCCTTCTTGGAGGACAGAGGCTACCTTGCTCTCTGGCATGGGTTTTGCCATGGCCTTATGTTTAGCTTCCTGGCTTCTATCCAGGCAGCCAGCCAGCTCCCAGGAAGGGCCATAGCCTCCAAAGTTAGGGATTCTTTTCAGCCATGCTGTGAGAGGAGGACAGCAGCCTTGGCTGCCTGGCTTTCCGTGTAATAAGTGTGCCTCGTGCCCTCTGTGAAGTGAGCTGCCCTCCCCTGCCTGAGCCTTAGGGCTGTCAGAGACTCTCAAGAGAGGGATGAGCTTGAAAGTGCTTCGTGAGCTAAACTGTGATCCACATCGTGAGGGATTGTCGAAAGTGTGTTAAATCAGCAACAGGGGTGCGTGATAACAGCAGCTGTGTGCCAGACATGATTCTGAGCATCTTATGTATCAACTTATTTAATGTTTACAACCTTGGACAGTAGGTAGAATTTCTGTTTTACATGCTAGGAAACTGAGGCACTGCGAAGTTAAATAACTTTCCCAAGATTACACAGCTACTAGGTGGTAGAGCTTGGGTTTGAACCAAAGCCACTTGGCTTTAGTCTACACGTGTAACCCATGTGCAGACTAAAGGCTCCATTAATCTAGGACTTCAGGCCTCTGGATGGGTGGCGAGGAGGCTCTGAATTCTTTGATATCATTGTGATATTTTCTTTATTTTGAGATGGAGTCTTGCTCTATTGCCCAGGCTGGAGGATAGTGGTGCCGTAGCGCCTCACTGCAGCTTCTGCCTCCCAGGTTCAAGTGATCCACCCACCTCAGCCTCCCAAAGTGCTGGGATTACAGGTGTGAGCCATCAACACCATCATGACATTTCTAACGTGTGTGTATGGCTTTATTGTTTAGATTTTTAGTTTTAGATTCACAGCAAAATAGAAAGGAAGGTACAGAAAGGAAGGTACAGAGATTCCCCATATGCCCTCTTCCCTTGCACATATACACAGCTTCCCCCATTATCAGCATCCCCCACCAGAGTGGTACTTTTCTTTTTTTTTGAGATGGGGTCTCACTCTGTCACTCAGGCTGGAATGCAGTGGCGCAATCATGGCCCACTGTAGCCTTGACCTCATGGGCCCAAGTGATCCTCCTGCCTCAGCCTCCTGAGTAGTGGTGACTACAGGTACATGCTCTGATACCTGGCTCATTTTTTTTTTTTTTCTTGTAGAGAAGGGGATCTTGCTATATTGCCCAGCTGGTCTTGAGCTCCTGGCCTCAAGTGATCCACTTGCCTCGACCTCCCAAGGTCAAGGGACTGCAGGTGTGAGCCACTGTGCCTGACCCACAGTGGTAAATTTGTTGCAACAGATGACCCTGTATTGCCACATCATTATCGCCCAGAGTCCATAGTTTAGGGTTCACTCCTGGCGTTGTACATTCTGTGGTTTGGACAAATGTATAACGACTTGTATCCACCATCGTCATCTCATGCACAGTAGTTCCACTGCCAGAAAAATTCTCTTTGCTCCGCTGATTCATACTCTCAACCCCCAACCTCTGGCAACCATGTGCATTTTTTAAATGTGCATATTTTTTATGTCTGAAAAATGTCAGATTCCCACAGGGGTTCATGACTCCCACATTCCGGAGACTCTGGGCTGCATCATTAACACTCTGAAAGGTTGTTAATCTGATAGAGGGTCACTGACCGCAGTGCTCAGGCCTGCGAGGAGTGACTGGCGGCTGCTCTCCTCCGCTTCTGTGGGGTTGGATGGCCAATGTGGGCAGCACACTATCAGGGCATCACCACCTCCTATCCACTGTGCTTCTGTCCTGGCCCTAGGCCAAGGGGTGGTGTTGGGCTGTGGCCACAGGCTGCCCTTATCAGTGGTAAATGGGACACCCGGGTACCCTGAGTGTAAACAGGACCAGTCACCCCAGCCTTCCTGGCTCTGCCCAGAACACCTGCTCCTTTTTGCCCTGCTCTCAGCTAGAATTGCAGGGAGTCCTTGAAAAGTGCCACACATGCTCTTATCTCCAAGCTGTGGCATGTGCCATTCCCTCTATCCACCCCTGCAGCCAACCCTTACTTCTTGTTCTGGTTAGCTTAAGTATCCTCCTCCAGGAAGCCTTCCCCATCTCCTCCTTCCCACTGCCAGAGAGTTAAGGACCCCTGAGCTCTGCCAAACACCCCTCCCATCCCCACCTGTCACACTTACCCCCGGCACTGCAGATGCCCATTTTCTTGGCGGCCCCTGGTTCCTCAGGGGACTGGCACATAGTGGGCATTGAAATATAGAATATCAGAGGTGAAGGAACCCGAAGAGATCACCTGCCCCAACCCCCGTCTAACATACAGGAAGCCCAGAGGGGGTCACACAGTGCATCATGGCAGAGCTGAGACCAGACCTGTTGTCCTAGTCACCTCTTCATTTCACAAACAAAAAGCAGAAATAAAAATCACCCAGAGATAATCACTGTTAATGCTTCTTTTCATTTTCATTTAGCACCAGTTTCTACCCTATGCACAAAAATGTTTAACAAAATTATGACCATGCGTACAAACTGTTTATAAACTTTTTTTTTTTTTTTTTTTAGACGGGGGGTCCCCCTTTGTCACCCAGGCTGGAGTACAGTGGCGTGATCTTAGCTCACTGCAACCTCTGCCTCCCAGGCTCAAGTGATTCCCCTGCCTCAGCCTCCTGAGTAGTTGGGACTGCAGGTGCACGCCACCACGCCCAATTAGTTTTTGTATTTTTAATATAGATGGGGTTTTGCCATGTTTCCCACGCTGGTCTTGAACTCCTGACCTCAAATGATCCACCCACCTTGGCCTCCCAAAGTGCTGGGATCACAGGCATGAGCCACTGTGCCTGGCCCTTGTGTTTTAATTCCTAAATACAATCCCCCATTGTTTGGCATTCACTGTTATAAGCAGCGCTAGGATTTGTATTCTTGTGGAGAAGCCTTTACACACTTCTGTAATAATACCTCTAGGATAAATTCCTGGAAATGCAACTGTTTGGTCTGGGACATGCTGTTCCAATGATGAGCACATCACATAGTCTTGGAGCTGGAAGGGGTTTCAAAGATCTTCACCTTCCCACCCAGCCCTAGGCTGGGCCCAAGCCCCGAATTCCCCCTGGTCTCCTTAGCCCTGGCTTTTACGCTTTCCTTCTAGACCTGGGCAACTCTCCTAGTTTTGAGCTGCTGTGACTGATAGAAAGTTGCTCCTTGGGTTGCTGGGAAATCTCACTTCTTGTGGCTTCATTACTATTTAAGGGAGACGGAGGGCTGGCTGTGTTTGGGGTTGCTGATTGGGATGAGGGAATTGGGGCCTTTGTGTCATGTATGTGGGTCTTCATTAACTCTTTCTAGTGAGTTGAGTGCAGGAGGCATGGCCTGGGTAGGGGGAGTTCAGGGTCGGGGGGAGGCTGGAACACAGAATTCTGACTGCCTGGGTGGATAGAAGGCCCAGGGCAGGGGAGGCTTCCCCATCCTGTGGCAGGATAGCGATTCTCAGGCAGGCTGTTTGGTCACCTATTGTCCTGGGCTGCTGTTTGCACCTGTGGGCGTGTACTCCAAGGATGAGAGATGCCTGGTTGCATTAGAGGCAAATATGACAGCTGCCATGTTTCTTGTGGCAAGCTCCTCAGATACATTTACTTAACACTCAGCTACAGCCATGAGCTGCAGGGGTGCTGGTGGCACAGATGAGCTCACTGATGCTTGAGAGGTGTCATGGTCACCTGGGGCCCTCTCACACCACCAAGGCACACATGCCCCACAGCCTGCTGATGAATCCTGGCTTGGCTTCATTCTGAGTCTTCATTCCTCCGAGACAGACTCAGTCTTTTTATCCATCAGATGGGGCTGCTGGGCTCATTCAAAGAGAGCAACGGGTTAGGGAGGGAATGGAATATGGTCAGGGTGTGGTATGTGGTCGTGATTTAGAACTCTACCTCTGGTTCCCAGGCTGGGCACATGCTCATCATCTCTCCTCATCCCTGTTGCTCCTGGATTTTTCTTGGCCTAGTCTTGGACTTTGATAATGATCAAAAATAGCAACTCCCATTTGTAGATACCATGTGCTAGGTACTGCTCTAAGTTATTTATAAACGTTGTTGAATTAATCCTCCCACCCCCTGTGAGATGGGTTCGTAGTATTTATTGTCTGCCCCATTTTACAAATGGCGAAACTGAGGCTTGGCAATATTAAAGCGCTTGCTCCAAATCACATAACCTTGGTTCGCCAGCCATGCTTGCACCTGGGCACTCCTCGTCAGCTCCCGTGTGTCCACAGTTAGCTGAGCCCTGAAGTCCAGCCTCTGACGCTCCTGTTCTCTCCACTCTCCACAGCCTTAGCCCTGTGGGCCCCACGGAGTGAGCGGCATGCTGCACTGCCGGGCCTGCCCAGTGTCCTCTGGCCTGCTGCCCTGCACCCCCAGAAGGCCCTGACGCCCTGGGGCACTTCTGCTCTGCACAGGACCACGCGGGGGTTTGCCATGGTGACATAAAGGGGCGTGGAGGAAGGAAGGAGCGTGACCAGCCTGTGGACTGCGCCCCTGGCTGGGAGGAGGGACCGGGGGCCCAGATCCTCCACTCCCAGTGCCCCCTGAGGGCCTCGCTTCCTAAGTCTCTGTGAATTTGTTGCTTGGTGGACGATTCTTGTGTCTCCTCTTGTGTGGGGCCTTGGGGTAGCCAGGGCAGGCCAGGCCTCCGGTGGCCAAGGTCTCGGAGGCCAGGATGCCTGCCCTGGCGTGCCTCCGGAGGCTGTGTCGGCACGTGTCCCCGCAGGCTGTCCTTTTCCTGCTGTTCATCTTCTGCCTGTTCAGCGTCTTCATCTCGGCCTACTACCTATATGGCTGGAAGCGAGGCCTGGAGCCCTCGGCGGATGCCCCGGAGCCTGACTGCGGGGACCCACCGCCCGTGGCCCCCAGTCGCCTGCTGCCACTCAAGCCTGTGCAGGCAGCCACCCCTTCCCGCACGGACCCGTTGGTGCTGGTCTTTGTGGAGAGCCTCTACTCACAACTGGGCCAGGAGGTGGTGGCCATCCTGGAGTCCAGCCGCTTCAAATACCGCACAGAGATCGCGCCAGGCAAGGGTGACATGCCCACGCTCACCGACAAGGGCCGTGGCCGCTTCGCTCTCATCATCTATGAGAACATCCTCAAGTACGTCAACCTGGACGCCTGGAACCGGGAGCTGCTGGACAAGTACTGTGTGGCTTACGGCGTGGGCATCATTGGCTTCTTCAAGGTACACAGGAAGCAGGGCCCCTGAGCAGTTCAGAGCCCCCTCTCCAGACTGGTAGCTCAGTGCCTGACTTCTCATCTGTGAAACGAGTGTAATGGTAGCACTCGCCTCCTAGGGTTGGGAGGGTGAAATGGGCGAGTATATGTAACGCATTGGGAGCATGCAGTGCCTGCTGCCTGGCAAGTGCTCTGTAAGTATTAGGGGAGTCTGCCAGGGGGATCACCTGGGTTTCATGGGGTCCAGCACACAGCAGGTGTTTGCCTGAAGGAGGCCACAGGGATAGGTGTGAAGTCGGAGGGGCATGCTCTGCTAGGTGCCCCAAAACCTGTCAAGGCAATGTCCCCGAGGGAGGACCTGTGCACCCATTTTTCAGATGAGCAAACTAAGCCTCCAGGGGTTAAGTTACTTATGTAAGGTTATGCAGCCTGTTAGTGGAGAAGCCGAGATTTGAACCTTGACATAGACAGTTTGGGCTCTCTATTCTATGCTCTTTCATCTTGGTGGTGGTGGAGTATGCCGTAAATGTACCTCCTGACCCAGACCCATTTTGCATGAGGAGAAAGAGGGGAATGAAATCCCACTGGGCAGATGGGGAGCTGCTCTGGGCTTTATGGGGCTCCCAGAATGACTGCTGGGATTGGGGTCCTTGCAGAAAGGGTGTCCCAGGGAATCTGTTCTTGGTGGAGGGAGGTTGGGAATACTGGGTGGGTGATCTAGAGGCTGTGCTCAGAGAACTCTGACCTGCAAGATGAAAGCAGACACTAGCTGGGACTCTAGTTGGATGCTTTGGGGGTGGCAGGGAATTTGTTCCTTCATTCAACAAATATTTACTGAGCACTCACAGTGTTCGCGGTTCTGCTAGCGGTGATCGAAGTGGATAAAGTCCCTGCTGTCATAGAGCTGGCATTTCAGTGCTGGGGGAGTGGGTGGGTGACAGGCAGTGAGCAAATAAACATCGGATGGGGCAGGTGTGGTCAGTACAAAAAGAAACAAAACAGGGAAAGGACACAGGGTAGTGGGGGTGGGAGCTTGACATTATTTTAGGAGTCATCTTTGATAAAGTGACCTGAAGTGAGGGGAGGTGCCATGTGGCTTTCTGTGCAAAGAGCCTTGCAGGAAGAAGGGACAGGAAGTGCACAAGTCTTAAAGCAGCCTCTTGCTTGGTGTGAGCCAGGAGAGGAGGAATAGGAGATAGGTCAGAAGCGGCCCGTGTCCACCAGTGGGTGCTCGTTTGTGCCAGCCCTTCCTGGTGAACTTGTGTACCGGGCCCTGTCTACTGGAGGGTTTCTCCTGGCGTGCTCTTTCACACACTAATACAGCAGGAAGCTCTGCCACTCAAAGCTCTATTGTGACCCAAGAATTTGAAGGCCCTTAGAAGTCCTGCAGTAGAGCAGCCAGGAGGTTTGTTCTCCACTGGCTTGATCACAAAACCCTTTTTTCCACAGAGCACCCTCAGGGGAACGCTGGCCTGGTTTATGGCTTTACAATGACATCAAGTCAGACTGTCTCCATTGTCTGTTTTTCTCTTTTCTCTTGGACTCTGCACCCTTTCCTGCCATGAACTTCATTAAGTTTTATTCAGAGCCCCAGGCCTGAAAAACGTCAGGATGGCTGACGTTTATTGAGTGCTCATTCAGTGCCATGCACCTGTCTACATGTGTTATGCAGATTCACGCACTTCACACTAATAAACCATCCTCCAAGGCAGGTGGCTAGCAGCTTGATTTAAGATAGGAGGAAACTGAGGCAAATAAAGGCTGAGCAGTGTGTCCAAGCCTACGCCTCTAATGAGTATAGATCTGGGACTTGAACTCAGACAGTCTGGCCCCAGAAGCTTTAGTCGTAGCCACTGTGTGATGAGTCCAGGAGCCTCACATACTATTTATTCAGGAGAAGTGGCACCAGAGGCCACATCCAGTGCACAGAGCTCCTGCAGTCTCTGGGGACCAGGCAGTGGGCTGTGGTCATTGGAAACAACAGATACAGTGGAGCTTGGGTGCTGTCTGACCTCAATTCCTTGCTCTGCAGAAGGTGAACAGGAAGCCCAGGGAGGGGTGGGGACATGCTCAGAGTCTCACCGTGGGGCCGGTGACAATTCTAGGTCTTGGTGCTCTTCCTACCCTGTTGCCTAAGACAAGACTGTCCTTGATTTTGAGCAGAGGCCTGTGGTTTTCTGCTCAAATGCATGCCCCCTGGTGGTCAAGGCACATCCTTGCACTCTTTCTGCAAGCCCTGCTTCCCCGCTGTGTGTTGGGCTTGCCAAGTGGGGAGTGTTTGTGGGCTCCAGGGATCTGCAGACTCATTTTCCAGTTCCCATTGATGCCGGATTCCCAGGGCAGTGTGAGAGCCGGGACTTAAAAGTCCAGACAGGTTCAGATCTGTCTATCACTTAGAAACAGAGTGACTTTGGACAAAATGCTCAACTCATCTGCACAGTGGGGCTAATTACAGCTCCCGCCTCACTGGTCTGTATTGAAAACAAGACTGTGGGTGGGAAGCACTGAGCCCATTGCCTGGTACCGGAACCACTCAATAGATGGCAGCTATCATGCTTTTTCATCTCCAGGTTCAGCAAACACTGCGGTGATAGCACTGTGTCTGTCTTGTGGCCCTGACCAATCTGTGCCCCTCTGAGATTCTGGAGAGTGGGAATAGGGTCATCCTTATCTGGGTCCCTAGTTCCTGGCACTGTCATGCCTCAGCCTTGAAATTCCGGTCAGCCTGGGGCTAATCACACCCTGGCAGAGGCCTGGCAAGGGCTACCTGACCTCTTTTATTGAGCACTAACTGAGTGTCAGACACTGAGCTCAGGGCTTTGCAGGCATTTTCATGTTGAATTCTCACAGCTATCCTGTGAAGTAGGTACTTTAGATAAGGACCTGAGTTTTAAAAAGTTAAATGGCTTATTCAGTGTGACATAGTTGAATGTCCCTTGTCTGAAATGCTGGGGACCAGAAGTGTCTCAAATTTTAGAATGCTTGCATTCTTTTGTTTGTTTGTTTGTTTTTTGAGATGGAGTCTCACTCTGTTGCCCTGGCTGGAGTGCAGTGGTGTGATCTCAGCTCACTGCAATCTCCACCTCCCGGGTTCAAGTGATTCTCCTGCCTCAGCTTCCTGAGTAGCTGGGATTACAGGTGCCCACCACTATGCTGGGTTAGTTTTTGTATTTTTAGTGGAGACATGGTTTCCCCATGTTAGTCAGGCTGGTCTCGAGCTCCTGACTTTAGGTATTCCGCCCGCCTCGGCCTCCCAAAGTGTTGGGATTATAGGTGAGAGCCACCTTGCCTGGCCAAAATTCTTGTGTCTCCTCTTGTGTGGGGCCTTGGGGTAGCCAGGGCAGGCCTGGCTTACCATTCTACTTACCAGTTGAGCATCCTTAATCTGAAAATCTGAAATCCAGAATGCTGCAATAAGCATTTCCTTTGAGCATGACCTTTGGGGGTCACATGGGTGCTCAAAAAGTTTTGGACTTTGGAGCATTTTGGATTTTCAGATGAGGGATGCTCAACCTGTGGTAAGTCGTGGAGCCAAGATCTGATGGTCAAGCTTGTTGTTCCTAACCCAGCCACAGGAGGTAATATAAGATCAAACAGACTGACAGGGAGCCTGAGGCCCAGAGAGCAGATGTGGGATGCCCAAGGTCCCCCCTTTAATGGTGAGGTCTGTGCTCGGCCTCCACCTCTGCATTCCCAAATCAGGGCTCTTCCTCCCTCTGCTGGGGGACCCCACTGGAAGATTTGGTGTCTCCAGAGTGGGTACTGAGTGGTGAGGAGCAAGAGGGATTTCCACTGCTATGAGGCGAGGCCTGCAGTGGGGCCAGCCTCTCCTTGCTGGGGCCCTCCATTCCCTTCCTGGCTGGTTCCTTTCATTGCCAATGGGTAGGCCATCAGTGACTTGGCTTTCTCCCTTCCTCGACGGCTGGGCAGCTGACTGAGCCGCCAGTGCCTGGCAGTCAGCTCAGGGTCGGGACTTTGAAATGGGATCCCTCAGCACCCGTGGTCCAGTGTGGCATCCCAGGCCTCAGCAGGTGATGGACAAGGCCTGAAATGTCTCCGGTCCCTACCGCTTCTGTCCCCACACAGCCCAAGTAGTTCCTATCCTTGGTCAGAGCCGTCTCCCCAGCTCCAGGCTGCCCACGACTCCTAAGACAGCCCTGTGCACTGGGCCTCAGCACACGAGGCTGGTGCAGGACAGGGTGGGGAGGTGCTCTTGATGCTTAGAGAATCACATGCAGGCTACTTAATGTGGTTTACGAGGCCAGGACCCTGCAGAGCCTTTTTGAGAATGAGGAAGTGAGTAGAAGGCACTGTTCTGGACAATTGCAGCTCTGCAGCAGGCACAGGCTCAACCGAACAGTTCCCCCATCCACCTGCCACTGACCTGTGCACCCCTGCAAGTGCTCCAGCAGCAGCTCTCCTCGCCCCGCCCTTAAACACACACCAGACCCTGTTTCCCCATCCAAACTCATTTTGCTTTGTCCCGCCCCATTCATATTCCTCGCAGCAGCCACAGGGATCTTTTTAAAATGCAAATTGGACCCTGTCTTCCTAGGCTTCAGAACCCTTTGATGCAGCCTTTGAGGGCTTCTGCTGCCACTTCAAGCCTCCAGCCTCCTGCAGGTCTGGCTCCAGCCCGACCTCACTGCCTCATCTCCTCCGTTCCCTCTTGGTCACTGTGCTGCCTTCTTGCTATTCCTCGATCACGCTGAGGCCTGTCCTACTTCAGGGTCTTTGCACTTACTATTCTTGGCCTCTACCTTTCCCCTTGTTGTGCTTGTTTGTTCTTCATTTTTATTTTATTTTTTTTGAGATGGAGTCTCGCTCTGTCACCCAGGCTGGAGTGCAGTGGCACGATCTTGGCTCACTGCAACCTCCACCTCCCGGGTTCTAGCAATTCTCTTGCCTCAACCTCCTGAGTAGATGGGATTACAGGCACCCGGCACCATGCCTGGCTAATTTTTGTATTTTTAGTAGAGATGGGGTTTCACCGTGTTGGTCAGGCTGGTCTCGAACTCCTGACCTTGTGATCTGCCTGCCTCAGCCTCCCCAAGCACTGGGATTACAGGTGTGAGCTGCCGTGCCCGGCTTTTTTTTTTTAATGTTAGCTCAAAAGTCCCTTTCTGAAGGAGACCTCCTCTTTCTCCAGGAGACATGAGCCTCCTTCCTCTGTGTAGCATGTGCCACACTGAAGTTTTATATTTATTCCTGTGATTTTGGTAAATGTCTCTCTTTCCTCTTTGATTTTAAGGTTCATGAGAGCAGGTGCCATGCCTTTTTTTTTTTTTTCTTACTGTATCACTGGCACTTAGAACAGTGCCTGACACAGTGAAAGTTGTGGAATGAACTGATGAAACCTGCATTGAGCATCTATCATATGCCAGGTACTGGAAAGCTGGCTGTTCCTCTTTTATTCCTTTTAAAAATCCAGTTCTGCATTAAATTATGTGTGTTCCTGCTGGGTATCAGGCTGGGCACCAGGGGTCCAAAGGTAAAACATCATAGCCCCTGGCCTTAAGGGGTTGCAGGCTGCTGGGAGATAGGATGCAGAAAATATAATATTACAGCCGGGGTGAGAAATGCTGCAGCCCAGGCCTTAACGTGGTCCCAGGGAGGCCAGTGCAGAGAAGACGGTATATGCCTTGGGTTTTGAAGTATGAGCAGGAGTTTGTCAGGTGGAGAAGATAGAAGGGAACTGTAACAGGAACAGGGACAAATTATACCATATTGAGGGGCAGGTGGCTGGGAGGGTGAGGAAGGCCATGAAGGAACAGGGGCCGTGGGCCTAGGGAAGAGGGAACTGGGGCATTGTCTTCAGACTTCCAGGGAGCTGGGCAGCTGCATGCCTTGAGAGAAGGGAGGCAGAGACTTCATCACTGAAGCAGTGACTGGGCAGGCACCATAGCTGGATTCCTGTGAGGGAGTGGCCTCCAGGGTGCTAGGGGTGTATGGAGCACCCCCGGCAGAAACCCCCTCTTTCAGCATCTGCATTGTCATCCATGTAAGATGTCTCCTGAAGAAAAGGTGGTGTGGCCAGAGCCAGTTTGGAAACCCCAGGCAACCATGCCTGGTGGTGAGGTGTGTGGGTGCCAGGGCTAGACCTCTTGGCAGTGATTCATAGCTCCTCCCAACCACTGTGCTACTGAGGGCAGCGTGCCCCTCTAAGCCTCAGTTTTCACACCTGTGAAGTGGGGTAACCAGGCTGATATGAGGACTGAATGAGCAGCTTCTGTTCATGTCACAGGCCCTGTTCTGAGCACTTTGCCAGTATTGATACTGATCATCCTCTACCACCACTAGAGTTACTTGCTGTTCTTAGCCACATTTTACAGCAGAGGAAACTGAGGCACAGAGAGGTGATATAACTTGCCAAAAGTCAGGCAGTCTAGCAGGATTCAGGTTCTCAACTGCTAGATTTTCCTCTGTGTGGTTTAGCCTCTTAGGCCTCTGTCTCCTCATGTGTAAAATGGGTATGAGAGCAGTGCCTCCATCGTGGGGTCACTGGAGGATTACCAGCATTCCTGTCTTCGAAGTGCACAGCACCTCGTGCCTGGCTTTGGTAAGTGAGTCATGGGGTTTGTGAGTATATTATTGTACAGGGTGGGGTGCAGGGCTAGGGTGGTGAGCCTGCCATGAATGTTGGTGAATATTGATACCACCGTTGTGGTCCACATGTGAGAGCCTGTGTCCCTTGGGGCTCTGGATGTGACAGTTCTATTCCCCCTCCTTCCCCACCTTGACTGCAGGCCAATGAGAACAGCCTGCTGAGCGCACAGCTCAAGGGCTTCCCCCTGTTCCTGCACTCAAACCTGGGCCTGAAGGGCTGCAGCATCAACCCCAAGTCCCCGCTGCTCTACGTGACGCGGCCCAGCGAGGTGGAGAAGGGCGTGCTGCCCGGCGAGGACTGGACCGTGTTCCAGTCGAACCACTCGACCTATGAGCCGGTGCTGCTGGCCAAGACGCGCTCGTCCGAGTCCATCCCGCACCTGGGTGCGGACGCCGGCCTGCACGCCGCGCTGCACGCCACCGTGGTCCAGGACCTGGGCCTGCACGACGGCATCCAGCGCGTGCTGTTTGGCAACAACCTGAACTTCTGGCTGCACAAGCTCGTCTTTGTGGACGCCGTGGCCTTCCTCACTGGGAAGCGCCTCTCCCTGCCGTTGGACCGCTACATCCTCGTGGACATTGACGACATCTTCGTGGGCAAGGAGGGCACACGCATGAAGGTGGAGGACGTGAAGGTATGGCCGGGGGTGCCAGACTGAGCAAGGGGCAAGGCAGGCGGGACCTGGCAAGCGTCCGCCTTCAGGTGCCCCATTGTGAGTGTGCCCTGTCTGCGTCTCCCCTGTGCCAGGATTTGCTTAAAAGACAGTCCCACTCTGCCTCCTACGCTGCCTTGGTTTTTATTAATTGTCTTAGTAGAAGCAAGTATCATTTAAAACTTTATTGAGGTATTGGCCAGGCATGGTGGCTCATGCCTGTAATGCCAGCACTTTGGGAGGCCAAGGCGGGCAGATCACTTAAGGTCAGGAGTTTGAGACCAGCTTGGCCAACATGGCAAAACCCCATCTCTACTAAAAATACAAAAAAAGCTGAGCGCGGTGGCTCATGCCTGTAATCCCAGCACTTTGGGAGGTCGAGGCGGGCAGATCACGAGGTCAGGAGTTCCAGACCAGCCTGACTAACATGATGAAACCCTATTTCTACTAAAAATACAAAAATTAGCTGGTCGTGGTGGTGCGCACCAGTAGTCCCAAATACTTGGGAGGCTGAGGAAGGAGAATCACTTGAACCTGGGCGGCAGAGGTTGCAGTGAGCCACATTTGTGCCATTGCAGTTCCAGCCTGGGTGACAAGAGCAAGACTCTGTCTCAAAAAAAAAAAAAAACAGGAGAGATTAATTTCCATTTGCCTTTCTCTTTGTGTAGTCTGCAAAAAGAAGAATAAAAAAATTGAAAAAAAAATGCAAAAAAGAATTAGCCAGGTACAGTGGCACATGCTTGTCATCCAGCTACACAAGAGGCTGAGGCAGGAGAATCGCCTGAACCTGGGAGGTGGAGGTTGCAGTAGGCCAAGATTGTGCCACTGTACTCCAGCCTGGGTAACAGAGTGAGACCCTGTCTCAAAAAAATTTTAAAAATAAAACTTTGTTGCATTGAAGTATTGAATATAGAGAAATTTTGTATTGGAGCACGGAGTTTAAGTTTGTATAATATCTGTGGAAGAAGACATCCAGACAAAGATGGGAGCTGTGCAGTGCTGTTTATCCGCCTTTAATTTAAAGATGATGTTTAACTCTTAAAAAATGTTTATGTGAATGTCAGAGCGCCTACAAAACTCTTAAAATAAGGATGAGAGCTTGAGTCATGCATGAGGCAGATTTTAACTGAGGTGTAAGTAGACAGTGGACTGCATGTGTTCAATTCAAAAAAGCTCGTTGGGTGGGTGTGGTGGCTTGTGCTTATAGTCCTAGCACTTTGAGAGGCCAAGGCAGGAGAACTGCTTGAGCCCAGGAGTTTCAGGCCAGCTTGAGCAACATAGGGAGACCTCACTCTACAAAAATAAAACATTAGCTGGGGGTGGTGGTGCAAACCTATAGTCCTAGCTACCTGGGAGGCTGAGGCAGGAGAATTTCTTGAGCTTGGGAGGTTGAGGCTGCAGTGAACCATGATCGTGCCATGGCATTCTGGCCTGGGCCACAGAGCAAGACCCTGTTTCCAAAAAAAAAAAAAAAAAAAAAAGTGTTTACTAAACAAAACTATGTAAAAGCACTTTGTAGACCTTACGATTTTACACACATGTGAAGTGTCACAGTGACAAAAAGCCTACAAATTAAAACCATTAAACAATCTTTAAAATATAGTTTTTATCTACTCACTATTTGACTTAAACTTATTTGCAAAGGAGATGGCATCCTAGTGTAAATGGGAAATTAGGATCTGTTGCCATAAATAGAGGGCAACCATAACAATAAATCCAATGAAAACAAAACAGGGGGATTAAATTCTAGAGACATTCTTCTGTCTGCTGACAGCCTGTCCTCTCTTACAGAAGATTAGCAAGTGTTAGAAACGTATTAGCACCAAACCCAGGCTTGTCTTTGATGTTAGCAGAAGGCTTTAAAAAGAGCCTTGTAAGAGGAATACTTTTCTGAGTAATTCCAAAATCACTGGTAAGGTTGGCCCTGGGGCCTGGAAGGAAGACCCTGGTGGCGTTCATCCCCTTGCCTTGGTGAGGAGTGAACTCTGAACCTTACACCTCCAGAGAAGAGCAGAATGGATGGCACTGGGGAGCAGGCACTGTCTGGGGAGCTAAGACCTAATTTCAATTGAGTCCTAATTTAACCCTAATGGACCAGGTGACTTGGGCAGTTCCCCTCCCATGCCTGAGCCTCAGCTATAAAATAATGAGATGGGGTGGATGGGAGGATTTCAGGCTATTTCCTGGCACCCCAGGAGTCTCCCATAGGTGCCTGCGTAGCTGGGGTGGGAGTGAGGAGTGTTTCGGTTCCAGGCTCAGCCCTGCAGGCTCCCGTCTCAGTTGTACCAGCAGCGCTGCTTTGGGCTGCCTTTACACATTGTGTTTCCTCCTGAAATTTCATTCTCTTGAAGCCCCTCTCATTTAAAGAACTTTTCGCCTTCCAGTCTAAGTCTTCATGCAGTGCCATCAGCTGCCTCTGGCAAAGCAGAGTGTTCTGTGTTCTATTTGAGGTGTTCTTCTAGTGACCCACGCTCATTTTCTCCTCGCAGAAGCCTAGGTTCTTGCTGCCTGTCCAGTGAGTTCTGGTAAGACTGTGCTCCAGGGTCAGGCTGAGCTTGAGATCAGGCTCCTGCGCTTACTGTGTCCCTATAAACCCTGAATTGCTCTCTCTCGTTTATTTTCCGTGTGTGTGTGTGTGTGTGTGTGTGTGTGTGTGTATTTTTTGTTTGTTTGTTTTTGAGATAGAGTCTCACTGCCACCGAGGCTGGAGTGCAGTGGTGGGATCACAGTTCACTCAAGCAATACTGAGCACAAGCGATCCCCCGGCCTCAGCCTCCTGGGTAGCTGGGATCACAGGCACATGCCACCACACCCAACTAGTTTTGTGTAAAGGCCAGGTTTCACTGTGTTGCCCAGGCTGATCTGGAACTCCTGGAGTCAAGCTCTGCGCTCACCTTGGCCTCCCAAAGTGCTGTGTTTACAGGCGTGAGGCACCGTGCCTGGCCCTATTTTTTCTATTTTAAAGTGAGAGGAATGATAGCACTTTGAAGCCATTCCTGTAGAACAATACACATGGAAAGATAGAATACAAATCAAAAATACAAGTAGAGGCACCCGCTTGCACGCACTCGGCTCGGTGCAGATTGCAAAGTGCTTCTCCAGCCACAATCCTACTTGCCTTAGACATCTTTGTGAGTCAGAAAGGGCAGAGTTGTTTTTTTCTTTAATCCCAAGCACAGCGTACAACCGAGCCCTTCTTTCAGAGACATGAATGTCGCCTCATTAGCTTGTACAGTACTGGCTGTACAGCACAATTTAAATAAAACCAATAGCAGCTGCCTCTTCAGGGCTTGGTGAGTCCCTGTGCTCAGCTCTCACTGGGCATTGCTTCATTGGGTCCTTACGGCAGCCCTGTGAGGTGGGTATTGTTCTGAGTCCCATTTTACAGAGGTGGGCACTGAGGCTCGGGGAGTTGAGGTAACTTGCCCAAGGCCACACAGCTGGAGCGTGCATGTCCACCAGGCAGTGCACGGCCCTGGTAAGATGCTGGCGGTGATGCTATCGCCTGGGGAGGGCCAGGACTTTTAGTTGGCAAAGTGCTGGCTCTTACAGGTTTCTGAGCGGCTTAGTGGATCATGCGTCCTAACCCCAGAGTACACCTGTATGTTTGTTTCATAAGTGTCTGTCTCTTCATTGACTTGCAAAGTACTGGGTACGTGGGACATGGGAAGATTGCATTGCTGGGCACACAGAGTCCCATCCTCGGAAAGGTCACGGCCCTGTAATGTCAGCCTTGCATTTCAGCAGCAAGGAGAAATCCTCCACGTTTGATAGAGGAAGACACAGGCTCACAGTGGCGGTGACCACAGACGTATCGTTGGCCACCATTTTTCATCACTTACCAAATGTCAGGCAGTTTTACATACAATATCTTTTTTATAATTGTTTGATTTTTTTAGAGCAGGGTCTTACAGTTGGACCCTTGTTGGATTCTAACTCCTGGGCTGAAGCGATCCTTCTACCCTAGCCTCCCAGTAGCTGGGATACATGTGGTTATCTTACTTGATTCTTCCAAGAGCCCTCTGAGGGAGATATTATCATCCCTGTTTTCCATTTGATGAAACCGAGGCCTAGAGGGATGTGAAGCCTTTTCAAGGACACATAGCAGAGCTGGGCGAGAGTCTAGTTTTCCCTTGCCAGAGGCCTGGGGGAAGGCAGCATAGGGCTGGCTTCAAGGGTATCTGATCTGCGCAGCCACACAGCCCGTGCTCAGAGGGGCCAATTATATGGTTTAATACTGCTGTTGCCTTCTCCACATTCTTTATAATTTTTGAATAGGGGTTTCCACATTCTTTTCACTGCCCTCAGTGGTAGGAGCAGGGAGCTCCTGGCTTCCCCTCACTCCTTCCTTTCTCCTCTGCCTGTCCTAGGCCCTGTTTGACACACAGAACGAACTACGTGCACACATCCCGAACTTCACCTTCAACCTGGGCTACTCAGGGAAATTCTTCCACACAGGTAAGTGGGCCTGCCTCTGCCCTCACTGGCAACTGTTAGGACTCCTCAGCACCCAAACCCTCAAAGCACCCATCCACGAGGGCAGCAGGTGGGTTTACATTAGGGGCAGATATGACCCCCCTGCGCCCCCACAACGAACCAACAGCCTACAAGAGCAGTCCCAGCCCAGGCAGAGGCCATCTGGGGACAACAGCAGTGGGCCACTTGTCCTTCCCTGGACTTTCAGGCTGTGCTGTCCTGGGGTGGGACATTTTCTCTCTCTTGTCTTTCCCTCCTACCTTTTAAAATTATGTGTATTATTTCTGCTTATAAAAGAAGCTGGTTGAACTTTAAGAACATTACGGAAACATGTAGCGTAGAAAGCGAAGATGCCCTGCAATTGTACCCACCTCAGATGACCAGTGTCCTGGGTTTAGAGTCCTAAGGGTTGAGGGTGAGGGTTATAGGTTGCTTGGTGCACACTTTCCTTACACTTTGAAACTGTCTCAAGTTCTTCAGCTGCTGTCCTTCAGGGACTGGGCAGGAAGGAACAGCCCCTGAGCTGGTCATCTGCAGTGACCATTCCCCCTAGTTGCCTTCTGCCTGGGCCTCAGTGAGACAGCCTGTCCTGAATTCTAAGAAAATCATTTTAGTCAACAATTCAGCAGATGGAGTAGTATATGCAACATAGCCCCAAAGCCAAATAGAAGTGATCCTGGGTTGTCTGTCTGTATTTATTATAATCTTTTAAAAACTTTTTCTTTGTTTTTTGGCCAGGCACTGTGGCCCACGCCTGTAATCCCAGTACTTTGGGTAGCTGAGGCAGGCTTATCATTTGAGGTCAGGAGTTTGAGAGCAGCCTGATCAACATGGTGAAACCCCATCTCTACTAAAAATACAAAAATTAGCCGGGTGCAATGGCATGCACCTGTAGTACCAGTTACCGGGGAGGCTAAGGCAGGAGGATTGCTTGATCCCAGGATTTCAAGGCTGCAGTGAGCTATGATTGTACCACTGTACTCCTGCCTGGGTGACAGAGTGAGACTCTGTCTCAAAAAACAGAACCTCTCTCTGTCACCCAGGCAGGAGTACAGTGGTGGTATCATAGCTCACTGCAGCCTTGAACTCCTGGGATCAAGCCTGCCTTATCCTCCCCAGTAGGTGGTACTACAGGTGCATGCCATTATGCCCAACTATTAATATTTAAAGATTGTTTTGTAGAGATGGGCCTTCGTGATGTTGCCTAGGCTGGTCTCAAACGCCTAGGCTCAAACAATCCTCACACCTTGGCCTTCCGAAGTGCTGGGGTTACAAGTATGAGCCAGTGGGCCTGGTTGTTTTTTATATTCATAATCCTTAGTGCATCAGAGGTGGTTATAGTAATATATCTGATACAGAGGGTCAAACATCCTGTGTATATACAAAGAGTTTCCACAGATCATTAGATAAAAGACAAGTGACCTAATTTGGATCACTGGAATAGAATCAGAGCATGTATGTCAGAGGTAGAAGAAACCCTTGCGATCATTGACTCCAGACCCCGAATTGTGCAGATGGGTCCAAGGATCTAGAGAGAAGGTGCTCTTGTCCAACGTCCCCCACTGAGTCAAGGGCACACTCTAGGCCAGAATTCAGGGGTCTGGGGCTCTGTCTGCTCCTGTACTGTGGCCCGGGTAACTTCCAGGCAGCTCCTGGGTGGGCTGTGGCCATGCGCTCCCATCCCCAGGCCCAGGCTCAGAGGGCCCAGTGGGCGGGGCTGAGCTGCCTGTGCCGCTGCAGGTACCGATGCTGAGGACGCTGGGGATGATCTGCTGCTGTCGTATGTGAAGGAGTTCTGGTGGTTCCCCCACATGTGGAGCCACATGCAGCCCCACCTTTTCCACAATCAGTCCGTGTTGGCCGAGCAGATGGCCTTGAACAAGAAGTTCGCTGTCGTGAGTAAGATTCCCTGCAGGGCAGAGCGGGACGGGCTGAGGGCTGGGCTGGAGGTCCAGACTGCTGGCCTCTTGCTGCTTTTGCAGCCTGCTCGCATGGATTTTTACGAACATCTCTGGGCCAGGGCCCAGGGAGAGCTGCCTTTTTAGCCACTGTCTCCTTGAAGCCTCAAGGGAATAGTCCCTTTACAGACAAGAAACCAAGGCTCAGGGAGGTCACACCAACTACCAAGAGGTCCAGCCAGGACATAAACTCAGGCCGTTTGTCTCCTGAGCCCAAGATCTTACTAGAAGGGGAGTCCCTGGAAAGCTGGAAGAGGTGCTCAATGAGGAGGGAATGAGCCCTGGGTGCTAGGTAGAATGAAGAGAAGGCAGGAAAGGGCCTTGTCCTTGTCCCTCACTACAGGGTACTTGAGTCCTTTGTGCTAGAGGCATGTGCACCGGACCGAGAGTCAGGAGACCTGGGTTCTAATCCCAGCTCTGCCAGTTTCCTGCACTGAGATTCTGGGCACATTTCTTGCCCTCCCAGGCCTCGGCCTCTCCATCTGTACCATGAAGGCTCAGACCAGCGGCCCTGCCGATCTAGCCTCTGATTTCCCTCTCCCATTCTACAAAGGGGGAATAAGGCCCAAAGGGGAAGGACCCCTGTGCTCACACTGCCCTGGTCATCCTCTTCCCAGGAGCATGGCATTCCCACAGACATGGGGTATGCAGTGGCACCCCACCACTCGGGCGTGTACCCCGTGCACATGCAGCTGTACGAGGCCTGGAAGCAGGTGTGGAACATCCGCGTGACCAGCACGGAGGAGTACCCCCACCTGAAGCCAGCCCGCTATCGCCGTGGCTTCATCCACAATGGCATCATGGTGAGTGGGCCCCTGGAAGCCCAGGAGGTAGCTGTCATGTGTGTGCACATGCTGTCCTGGGAAGCGTGGCTCTGATTTGCTAGCCTAGGGGTTGCAGATCAGCTTCTGCTGCCTCCTCTGGCACGCGAGGCTCTCTGTCTCAGGGAAGGTGGGCTGTCACTCTGGCCCCTTTCATGAGCTCTTTCTTCGCTTTTGTGACAGAGGATCAAGGAATAGTGAGCATTCTCAAAAGGGGTTTCTGATGAGGATGTGGGACAGGGCTCCATTACAGTCTTTTTGCTGATTAAAAATTTTTTCTTGACTGGGCATGGTGGCTCATGCCTGTAATCCTAGCACTTTGGAAGGTCCAGGCAGGCAGATTGCTTGATCTCAGGAGTTTCAGACCAGCCTCGGAAACATAGTGAAACCCTATCTCTACTAAAAAATACACCTGGTGATTAGCCAGCTATGGTGGTGTGTGCCTGCAGTCCCAGCTACTTGCAGGGCTGAGGCACGAGGATCACCTGAGCCTGGGAGATCAAGGCTGCAGTGAGTCTAGATTGCACCACTGCACTTCAGCCTGGGTGACCAGTGAGACTCTGTCTCAAAAAAAAAAAAAATTTTTTTTTCTGGGGCTTCTACCATGTACCTATCCCTTTTCTAGGCACTGGGAACACAGAAGTGCATAAAATGGAGGAAAGTTCCTGCCCTTGTAGACCTGACATTCTAGTGACAGGAGACAGACAATACGCTCAGGCGTGTGTAAAGTACACAGTGGTCAGGTGGTGGCGAGTTCCACAGACAGAGTGAAGCCGGGAATGGAAGGAAGGCGTGCTGGCAGGAGGAGCTGCTTTAAATAAGGTGGCTAGGTGGGCCTTCCTGCCGCATGAGGAAGAGCACTCAAGGCAGAGAAACAGCAAGTGCAAAGCCTGAAGCAGACTGTGCTGGCTGCGTTTGCGGACCAAATAGGAGGCCAGCATGGCTGGAGGGGAGTGAGGGACGGCGGTCGATGTGTCATGGATGGGTGAGGGACCAGATCAATAGGGCCATGTGAGGCCAGCCACTGGACGGCCGTGGGCTTTTAGGCTGAGATGGGAAGGTTTTGAATGGAGCATGATCTGACTCATCTTTGAAAGGGATTTCTATCATTCTGGCTGTTGTGTGGAGCAGAGACTGCAGGGGACAAAAGTGGCAGCAGGGAGACCAGTTAGGAGGCACTGCAGTCTTCCAGACCAGAGGTGGCAGCAGCTTGGGCCATCCCGGCATTGGGACGTGGCCATACTCTGGGCTTAGAGTAGTTAGGCCAGTGGTTAGATGAGCTGGATGCAGGGGTGGGAGGAAGAGAGGACCCAAAAATGACTGCAGCGTTTTTAGCCTGAGTAGCTGGAAGGATGACTTGTCATTGGTTGAGCCGGGGCAGCCGTGGGTAGGCAAGGTTCGTGTGTTTGTCCATCAGTCCACCCATCTGTCCACCCGCTGACCTCAGCACCAGGCCCTTGTGCTGAACTCCAGGCACTCGTTCAGCTCCTCAACCCTGAGCTCCAGGGATGAGGTGGTGACAAGGCAGGCACGTTCCCTGCTCCCATGGAGCCCACAGTTTTGTGAGGGGAGACAGATGACAAATGCCTAAGCCAGTGTGTGACAATGAGTGTCACCAGGTGAGGTTCGAACGTCGTGAGGGGGCTTGCAGAGGGCTTGGAGAACTGCTTCAGAGAGAGCCAGGCAGGGAGTGTGGCTGCAGCAGTCCAAGTTTCCAGAAACATTTCCGCTCTGTTACTTTTAGGCCTGCTTATTTTGTGCAGAGAATAGCAGTGAAGTTTGTAAAATGGCAAGGGCCGGTGGGTCACTGTGGGGCATGCTGTGCTGCAGGCTGCACCCAAGGGTGGGGGCCGTGTGGCCACATGGGAGATTGCCTTTAGGAGGAGCAGCTGGCCCTTCTTCTGAGGAAGAGTCCTCCCACCACCCTCATCCCAGGAGGCACCATAGCTCCTCTCCCCTGCCCCCTCCTCAGGTTCTCCCGCGGCAGACCTGTGGCCTCTTCACACACACCATCTTCTACAATGAGTACCCTGGCGGCTCCAGCGAGCTGGACAAGATCATCAACGGGGGCGAGCTCTTCCTCACCGTGCTCCTCAATCCTGTGAGTGCTCCACAGCCCATGGCTGCTGGTGAGAAGGGGCTGCTGGGCAGCCCGTCTACAGCTGACACAGGATTCTTGGAGCCAGGAAAGGGCGGGGAGGCATGAGTGAGTGCCTCGCTGTTGGGAGACCCACTCTCCCGCGCTGGCCCTGTCCTGCCTCTGTTGTGTCACCTTGGCTAAAGAATCCGAGCGTGTTTTTTTTTTTTCCTTTCCTAATCATGCACTTTAATACAGAAGTGTTGGCACTTTTAGGGATGTTACCTTTGGTCTTTGCTCCTGTGCGTATAGACACATACACACACATATATAAACTGCATTTCAGTTTTCTAGGTCTCACTTTTCTTATTTGTAGAATGCAAACAATTACCCCTACTCTGATAATATTTAATCAACATCCAATGGTGGTTGTTATTCAGCTCTGTGGGCTGAGTACTCTATCTTCCATACACTACACCCCTCACATTTACAAAACAAAACGCAAGTATTTGGGGCCAGTCAGACCTGAGTTTTTGTCTGTTGCCTCATCCAAGTACATGCAGCAAGTCTGTTGACAGCCCAGCGTGCCTTCCAGTGATCATCGGGGGCCTTGCAAGCTGAGGCAGGGTCAGAAGGGTCAAAGTTAGGGCTGAGGGTGGCTCAGACGCTGATGGGCCCTGCCTCTCTCCTCCCCTCCCCTGGAGCAGATCAGCATCTTCATGACGCACCTGTCCAACTATGGGAATGACCGCCTGGGCCTGTACACCTTCAAGCACCTGGTGCGCTTCCTGCACTCCTGGACCAACCTCCGGCTGCAGACACTGCCCCCTGTGCAGCTGGCCCAGAAGTACTTCCAGATCTTCTCCGAGGAGAAGGATCCACTCTGGCAGGTGGGGGGCTGGGTACCTTGCTGCAGGGATGGAATGGTAAATCTCACAGGTGCACACTCCAGACATGGACTCGAGGCTGAGCCCTCATGCCCTCACACTCTCACTCGCATGTAAACTCAGGTGCCCCTCTGCTTACCAGGGTGGGTGCATTCACTCCTGTGCACACACACATGCACGTTCATACATGTGCATACCTCCCCATGCAGACCTACATGCATGCACAGTCATACATAGCCTTGGAAAGGAAAAACAGTGTTAAAAAACTGAGTGGGCAGGACACAGTGGCTCACGCCTGGAATCCTGACACTTTGGGAGGCCAAGGTGGGCAGATTGCTTGAACCCGGGAGTTCAAGATCAGCCTGGGCAATATGACAAAATCCCATCTTACAAAAAGTACAAAAAGTAGCCAGGCATGATGGCATCCATCTGTAGGTCCCAGGTACTTGGGAAGCTGACATGGGAGGATCAGCTGAGCCTGGAGGTTGGGGCTGCAGTGAGCTGTGATCATACCACTGTACTCCAGCCTGGGCAACAGAGTGAGACCCTGTCTCAAAAACAAAAAGCAACAAAAAACTCCAAGTGAACACTGGGCAGACAAAGTATAGAAAGTAACTGCCCTGTCTTAGACAGACTCTTAGATAATCTCTTGTGTCTCTTCCAACTCCAGCAGGCTCTGAGCAGGAAAAGGGACTGATGGGAGGGATTGGGGGCCAGTTTTTGGGAAAGTCTGCTCCTTGGGGCTGTTAAAAAGTAGAAGCAGAAGCTGGAATTGGTGGCAGTCTCATAGTTCAGACTAGGAGTCCACAAACCATGACTCATGGGCCAAATCCAGCCTGAGACCTGTTTTTGTAAAGAAAGTTTTATTGGCACACAGCCAAGCTCGCTCTTGTATGTACTGTCTGTAGCTCTGTTCATGCTGTGACAGCAGAGTCAAGTAGTTGCAATGGAAGCTTTCATTCCCAAAGCCTAAAATATTTACTAAATATTTACCAAAAGATTTACTAAACTTTACAGGAAACATTTCTTGACCCCCTGGTTCAGACACAGGTTGTCCAGCTAAATTCAACAAGTCCTTAGGAGTTCCTGTTATGTGCTAAGCACGGGGCTGGGCCTTTTGCCAGGCTCTTTGGGGGACTTGAAACTAAGCACAAGTGGAGACTGCCTGTCAGGGGCTCAGTGTCTGGGAGTGGGAATGTGACATGAGCTGTAAGGGCCACAGATCCATGTGCAGTGGGAATCTGCTAACTGGGTTCTGGGGTGCCCCACACGTCCCTTCCACTGTTGTTTTAGGACCCCTGTGAGGACAAACGTCACAAAGACATCTGGTCCAAGGAGAAGACATGTGACCGCTTCCCAAAACTCCTCATCATCGGCCCCCAGAAAACAGGCAGGTCTCTCTGCTCTTGACCCAGCTTCCCCAACTACCTGCTGTCTCAGCCGCAGAATTCTGAGGACTGCCTCACCCTGGCCCCACTCCCTGATAATTTGCTCCCTCTTTCCCAGGAAGTAGGAGTGAAGTTGGGGTGAACACAAATTGCCTGTCAGTATAGAGGGGAAAGGTGGGGTCTGGAATTCTATTTATCCTGAACCACACATAGCCTCAGGGAGCTCTCCCTACATCCTCCTGGGAGTCTCCAAGTCTAGGCAGAGAAGCCCAGATCAGTTGCTTTGCAAGTTTGAGTAGTGCCAAGCAAAACTGGTACAAAGAGGACTGTGATCAATTAGCCATGTCTGCCAGAGGTGCAGGAGGAGAATCAGTGACATGATTGCTATGCATCTGTCACCCATACAGCCCTGCAAGGCACAGATGGGCACTCCCATTTTATAGACAGAAACTCAAGGTTCATACAAGTCAAGTGACTTCCCTTAACACATTCAGTTAGGTAATGGCAGTTCCAGGTCCTGAACTCTGGTCTCTGTGGCCCCGAAAAATATACTCTTAATTGCCAAACTCTACAGCCTCCTTCTCTTCTGAGCTGTCTAATAGCATGTAAACCGTAGATTCATACCACAGAAAGTGAAGGAACTCCCTGAGGAGGAAGTAGGGCAGGGTGCAGTGAGGAGATGGTGTTGGGAGGAGGAGACGTGGGAACTAGATTTCTTAGTTCTTTAAGAATTTCACATTAACAGAACTAGAGGGTCACAGACTCCCTATTCCCTGAGCTCCTAGCAAGTGCCCAGAGGACAGAGGCCCAGAGCTGGAAAGGACCAGCTCTTCCAGGATGCTGAGGCTGCCAGAGTACAGTGGTGAGAAGGATTCTGAGGCCAAGTCCTTGTTTAGTGAAGAATGCTGTGATGGATTAGTGATGTCTGCAGTAGATACGGGAGCTGCAGTGTCCACATGCATGCCACATATTTGCCACCCTGGATTTAGTAATTCCTTCATTGGACAGATAAAGAAGCTAAGACCCAGAGAAAGGCAGAGACCTCCAGGATCCCCACCGTGGGTAATGGGGAGCTAGGCTCAGAACCCAGACTCTATCTCTTGGCTGGGTGCTGGGCCCTGGGTCTCAGCTGTCTCCCGTCCCGACAGGCACCACTGCCCTCTACCTGTTCCTGGGCATGCACCCGGACCTAAGCAGCAACTATCCCAGCTCTGAGACCTTTGAGGAGATCCAGTTTTTTAATGGCCACAACTATCACAAAGGCATCGACTGGTGAGTTGGCCTTTCTGTCCACAGCAGAACGGGAAGGCCATCCTGGGGCCTCCCACAAGTCTGCTGTGGCCACAGCAGGAAGCAGCTGGAGCTTGCTCACACGCAGCTGAAGTTCCTGTAAACAGGGACAAAGTGCGGTGACCCTTGAGTCATGGTGCGACAGTGTTGTCATAGACAGGACACTCAATGAGGAAGCCCTTTGCCCCTTTGCTCTGCTGCCTGCAGTCAGAGATGCTGAAGCCGAGGTCCACGCCGCCCTTGCTTGCAGGGAGACATCCTGAGTCCTGGGGAGGAGAAGGATTTGCCCAGGTTCCCAAGGTCTGAAACGCAAATGTTCTGGCCCTCCTCACTGCGTGTGGCTGACTGAAGCAGAAGGTGTTCTTGTGGGCCCTTTGGGGACAGGTTGCCAGTCTTTGGGCATCACTTGGGGAAGTCATTAGGACTGCTGCTTCCCACCAGAGCCTGCATACGTTACCTCTATAGAAGTTCCCAGCAGAGGGTCCCTTTAAGGGTGTGGGGGACAGAACAGAGACAGTTTTACTCTCCAGCTTTTCAGTTTGCATCTTTCTCTATTTGCCTTTTTTTTTTCTTTTCCTTTTTAAATTTTCATGTCAGGCAGACAATGTGCTGACATCATAACAAAGTCTGAAGTGGGCGCACCTCACACACGGGTGTGAACACCCAGTCATTGCGTGCATGGATGGCAAGTTTGCCTTTTTAAACCTTGTTCACGTGTTACCGTTATTTATTATTTTTATGTCAGCCTGTTCCCTGGGTGGAGAGGTTATGGGCCTTCTGTCTGTTTTTGGTATTTTTCTGTGCGTATTTATCTTTTTTATCTGTGTGTCATCACTCTGTCTGCCTCTGTATCTGTCTTTCCATCCATCCAGCTACCTACATATTTTTTTTTTTTTTTGAGATGGAGTCTCACTCTCACCAGGCTGGAGTACAGTGGTGTGATCTCAGCTCACTGCAAGCTCCCGGGTTCAAGTGATTCTCCTGCCTTAGCCTCCTAAGTAGCAGGGACTACAGGCACAAGCCACCACACCCAGCTAATTTTTGTATTTTTAGTAGAGACGGAGTGTCACCATGTTGGCCAGGATGGTCTTGATCTTGACCTCGTGATCCTTCCGCTTCGGCCTCCCAAAGTGCTGGGACTACGGGCGTGAGCCACTGGGCCCAGCCCCATCTACCTACATTTCTAACATGTCCACAGTGTCTTATCTAAAATCTACTGTGGCTAGATGGATTGTTGAAAGTCAACATTTTCAGATTTTAGAAAGGTAATAAGGTGTGAAACCACATATTTAGTAACATCTTCAGTGATGCCTGGGGCAGCAACCTGTTAGCAAATTCATTAATACGTCTCTAGCAAAGTATGTGAATATTTACACAAAGAAGGAGGAGTAAGGCAGGTTTTGTTGCCAAATGGCTTTGCTGCAAACTTAGGAAGCAAAGCCTGTGTTTTCAGAGCTTTCTCGTTTGAGATATATTGTAAACAAAGGATTGTGGACAAGCAAAGAAAATTCAGCAAGATGAGAGAAAGTGTGATTCCTTGGCCCGATCCCCAAGAGTTTGATTTCGTAGGTTGGTGTAAAGTGAGCTGCAGGAATCTGACAGGCCCCCAGAACGGTCCCATCCCTGGGACAACCCTAGAGAAGCCCCACCTCGCTGGATAGGATAGGGACCCTGTACCGTTCATGAGGGTGGGCTTTGCTTCCCACAAGCCTCAGAAGTTAGACCCTGGAGCATTCATTTGGCTTCCAGAGGTTCTTCATCCAAGGTGGCCATCGCTCTGGTGGGATATGGGCATTAGTCTGGAAAGCCCTGCTCACCCACAGCAGGCTGGGAGGAGATGTGGTTTGGCAGGAGGTCCTGGTCCACAGTGACAGACCAGAAGGTGTTCCCTAGGTCAGGAAAGAAAGCCTGCCCTCTGGAGGCCTCCTCTCTCTCTGCCAGCCTCCCTGGGGCAGCTCTGGAGCCGCCCTGAGCCCCAGCTCGCCCCCTAGATGCAGAGAGAGTGACAGCTCTGGCAGTTTAGCCTGGAGTGGCCGAGGGGGCGGGATCCCAGAGTTAGGATTGAGGGGCATTACCCGCTCCCCATGACCTGCAACCGACGGCGAACCCACAAGTCTTCTGATCCTCCTGACCCCAGAGTCTCCTCGAAAAGGAGGGAATTTGAAACCAGGAGGCTGCCGAGAGACCATTTCTCTCCAGAATCCCCACTGGAGGCGTCTTTGTTTGGCTGGGAGCAAAGTCTCCCGCCTGCTCTCCGAGGAAGTTCTATCCCAGCGCCTCACCCACCAGCCATGTTCCCTAGCTCCCTCCTCAAGAATTTTATCTGTGAGGTCCCTCTCTGGGCTTCCTGCAGGTACATGGAGTTCTTCCCCATCCCCTCCAACACCACCTCCGACTTCTACTTTGAGAAAAGCGCCAACTACTTTGATTCAGAAGTGGCGCCCCGGCGGGCAGCAGCCCTCTTGCCCAAAGCCAAGGTCCTGACCATCCTCATCAACCCCGCAGACCGGGCCTATTCCTGGTACCAGGTAAGTGAGGCTGGGGTGGGTTCCCTGTGTGGGGGCGCGCAGGGCTCCATCGGATACTCAGTTCCTCACTCCCTCAACACATATTAGTAAGTACCTACTGTGTGCCAGCCCTCAGCCAGGCACCTGGAGCATGGTGGTAGCTGAGAATAGAGTCCCTGGTAGAGGAGTTAGGCAGAAATGGAAAGCCAGCTGCCAGTCCTCCTAGTGCCATGCAGAGTCCTGCCTCTGATTCTGACATTGACAAGAGGTGGAGACTGGTTATACCTTGAGGAGGCTTAGATTTGGTGAATAGCAACTCAGGATCATACTGACTGTAGCTTCCTCGCTGGACACTGGGGTGAGAGTGGGAGCTTATGGAAGGACAAGACTCAGGACTGCCATTCACAGTGGAGAAGGCGGGCTCCTGACCAGGTGACGCAGTTACCTGGACTGTGATATGTGGAGAGGGTGTGGATCCGAGCCCCTATCTGGGGCATGTGTGAACCAGAACTCTCTTCAATGCCTATGGCCTGACTTAATTTCCTGCACGCCAGCCCACTGAGCCTGCAGGAATGCTTTCAGGCCTTCCATGGCAGGGCAGGGGGAGTCCCTCCCCTGGCTGCCAGCATTCCTGGGATTATGCCACACTGCCAAGCACTTTGATTCAGAAGTGGCACCCCAGCGGAAAGCCACCCTGCTGTCCAGGCTGAGGTCCCGAGTATCCTCATTAACCCAGCAGACCAGGTCTGTGCATGGTGTTGGGGAGGGAGTGGGGCCCTGGGCTAAGGGAGGTGTTGCCAGGGAGGTGTCCCCTGTCCTGCCTGGGACAGCCTCTTCAGGCCTGGCCTCTGGCCTGTGCTATTTCCCACCTCACTTTGAGCCTCTTTCTCAGGTGTGACAGTGGCTGCCTCCCGCCTGGGCCCTCTCGGTCTCCTCCGCAGGGCTGGCACCTGCCTCCTCTTTGCTCACATGGAAGTCTCTCCTCCTGCCCCTCCCTGAGCCTGTGGGGAAGCCCTCTCTTACTCTTGTTCTCTAGGGCTTCTCTTTATGCCCTGATGTCTGCTTTCTCATGGGCTTTTTCTTTAGGAGAAGAAAACCAAGAAACACTCATTGGGTATTTCTCTTTTCTGCTGTGCCGTGTGCCCCTGCCTCCTGGCGCTGTGCAGGGAACTGGCAATCTGCTTTCCTGGGGGAACGTAGGGTAGAGAGGGAGCTGCCACAGGTTGGGTCAGTCCCTGTTCTGCACTGACACTGCTCTACATCTGCCACCTCCCTGGAGAGTCATGGCGGGTTTCTAGAAGGCAGCGGAGGGGTTTGATGTTTGTGTCCCCTTCTCAAAGATGAGAAAACCAAGTTTCAGTAAGTTTCACATGGTGGCATTTGAATCCAAGTCTGGTAAATCTAAGACCCTATTCCTTTTTCTGTCCATGGTCAAGAGGGGTAAGGGAGAGAAGGAGAAGGAAGGCTCATTCCCCCCAGGAGGAGCAGGAAGGTGCTGGAGGAGAGGAAGCTTGGTGGCCTGTCTCAGAAGGAGGTCTGGATGAGGAGGAGGCTGCTGTGCACCATTATCGTCCCGGCCCTGGGCTGTGTGTGATCTCAGGGGAGGGGTTGGCAACTGGGGGGTAGTGCCTGTTGTGCAGGTGCCCGAGCTCTGGACTTCTATTCTTAGTGAATTGTGCAGAGGCCAACCTCCCATGGTATTACTTTAGGTGGTTCAGACCTGCCAGTCTCCCTTTTATAGCTCTTTCCCAATCCTTCTGATTTCCATAAAGGAGAAACGCTCACTTTAGTACAAGTGGCTCTTACGGCCTTTCTAACACTGCCAACCTCTGCTTTCAACACAGAGGGCATGTTCAGGGCCTGTTGCAGCCATGTGTGTGTGGCTGGAGTTTCAGAACATTGCTTTGTTTTCATTGCATTTATGAGTGGTTGCCTTCTATATATGACAACAGTGCAGTGGTGCGATCTCAGCTCATTGCAACCTCTGCCTCCTTGGTTCAAGCGATTCTCATGCCTCAGCCTCCTGAGTAGCTGGGAGCACAGGTGCACACTGCCATGCTGGCTAATTTTTGTATTTTTAGTACAGACGGGGTTTCGCCATGTTGGCCAGGCTGGTCTTGAACTCCTGACCTCAAGTGAGCCACCCCCCTCAGCCTCCCAAAGTTCTGAGATTACAGGCTTGAGTCACTGCGCCCGGCCTCAGGAAATCCTGCTTTAGTCCAGCTCCCGTATTTCAAAGATGGAGAAGTTGGGGCTCTGGGAGCAGTGGCTTCCCCTGACACTGGACATGGTGAGAGGCAGAGCTAGGACTCAGACCCAGAGCTCCTGGGTCCAGCTGAGGATCTAGCCGCCTCGCAGGCTGCTGTCGCTCTAAGGCTACTTCCTTTGTGCCCTCCGTGTGGCATACTGACCTTCTTTCTTTGTCTGCAGCACCAGCGAGCCCACGATGACCCGGTGGCCCTAAAGTATACCTTCCATGAGGTGATTACAGCTGGCTCCGATGCATCTTCGAAGCTGCGTGCCCTTCAGAACCGCTGCCTGGTCCCCGGCTGGTACGCCACCCACATCGAGCGCTGGCTCAGTGCCTATCACGCCAACCAGGTAGCTCCTGTCCCTGACCCTGTGAGGGCAGTCACAGTACTGGCTTGCTGTGGTTAGCGGAGAGCCTCAAACTCTTTCTCACTAGCCACAGGGCCAGATATGCCCTCCTTTGAGTGCTAGACCCTTGGGTCTATAAAGATTTTATTATTTTATTTTGAGACGGGATCTCTGTTGCCCAGGCTGGAGTGCAGTGGCGTGATCGCAGCTTATTGTAGCCACAACATCCCGCGTTCACACGATCCTCCCACCTCAGCCTCCCAAGTAGCTGGGACTACAGGTGTGAACCACTGTGCCCAGCTAATTTTTTTTTTTTTTTTTTTTTAAGAAACAAGGTCTTACTATGTTGCCCAGGCTGGTCTCAAATTCCTGGGCTCAAGCAATCCTCCCTTGGTCTTCTCAAGTGCTGGGATTACAGGCATGAGCCACTGCACCTGGCCTAAAAAGACTGTAGACCTGTTTATCCCAAGGTTGATACGTGAGAACTCCCCAATCCTGTGTCCCATCACCACGGACCTGTAGCCCTAAGGGGACCCAGAAAGCCCTGAGGCAGTCAGGTGATGGAGGGAGAGCCTGCCTGGAGGGGTGGTATACCCCTCCAATCATACCAGGCCTTGTATTTATTTATTTATTGTGAGACGGAGTCTGGCTCTGTCTCCTGGTCTGGAGTGCAGTGGCATGATCTTGGCTCACTGCAACCTCTGCCTCCTGGGTTCAAGCACTTGTTCTGTCACCAGGCTGGAGTACAGTGGCTCAATCTCGGCTCACTGCAACCTCCGCCTCCTGGGTTCAAGTGATTCTTCCACCTCAGCCTCTTGAGTAGCTGGGACCACAGGCGTGTGCCACCATGCCCGGATAATTTTTTTGTATTTTTAGTAGAGACGGGGTTTCACCGTGTTGGCCAGGCTGGTCTTGAACTCCTGACCTCAAGTGATCTGCTAGCCTCAACCTCCCAAAGTGCTGGGATTACAGGTGTGAGCCACCATGCCTGGCCATACCAGGCCTTTTAGGCAAACTTGTGGAGTGTTTGAGCAGTAGAGTGACATGTGGGCTGGAAGCCAGTGAGAGGCCAGAGAGAGATGTTTGTAGGGACTTGAGGGGCAGGCAGGGTTTTGGTGATAGCTCTCACTCCTGCTTTCCAAGAAATGGCATTGGGCAGTGGAAGCTGGTGGAGAGCAGGAGTGAGACCACAGAGGACTGATCTTGGGGACGCCTGCCATTCAATAGGGGAGGAGGAGCTAGATTCTAGAGGGTGCAGGATTCCATATATATAAGCAGGCCCATTCCTGCTGCTGTGACTATTGTCCCTGTTTGCCACCGAAGACAAAGCAGGTCCCGATCCCCTTTCCTCCTTTCCAGATTCTGGTCTTGGATGGCAAACTGCTGCGAACAGAACCTGCCAAAGTGATGGACACGGTGCAGAAGTTCCTTGGGGTGACCAACACCATTGACTACCACAGAACCTTGGCGTGAGTGTTGCCTTTGCCTCTCAGCAGGTTATTTCCCTGATAAGGCACCTGGGCCAAAAAAGCCAAAGGCTTGAATAATTATGAGAGAGACAGAGGTTAATTAGAGTCAGCAAGTATGAGAAGTTCTTAATATGATTTAAGTCATATTAATAAAGGTATCACCTTAAGAAAAAGGGAGGTGATAAATCTGTTCTGCTCTGATCAGACCATCCTGGAGTGTTCTCTTTCATCTGGGCTGAACATTTTCAGAATGCTTTATGTAAGTAAGTTAAACCAGTGATTAACCACCCCAATTCTCACAAGTTTTCTTAGCATTAGGTTTTTTCTTTTCTTTTCTTTTTCTTAAGACAGGGTCATTCTGTTGCCCAGGCTGGAGTGCAGTGGCATGATTTCGGCTCACTGCAACCTCAACCTCCCAGGCTCAAGTGATCCTCCCACCTCAGTCTCCTGAGTAGCTTGGGACCACAGGCAGTTAAATTAGCGACTCCTGGCTAATTTTTGTATGCTTTGTAGAGATGGGGTTTCACCATGTTGCTCAGGCTAGTCTCAAACGGCGTGGTGACTCACGCCTATAATCCCAGCACTTTGGGAGGCCAAGGCGGGCGAATCGCCTGAGGTCAGGAGTTTGAGACCAGCCTGGCCAATCTGGCAAAATCCTGTCTCTACTAAAAATACAAAAATTAGCCGGGCATGGTGGCAGGTGCCTGTAATCCCAGCTGCTCAGGAGACTGAGGCAGAGAATGGCTTGAACCCCAGAGGTGGAGGTTGCGGTGAGCCGAGATCGCACTATTGCACTCCAGCCTGGGCAATAAGAATGAAATCCCGCCTCAAAACAAAAACAAAAACAAAAAATCTTACTCAGCACCTCGTGCAAGTGCGTCAAGAATGCCCTCCCACCATGAGTAAGTGCCTCCGGAATTGCAGGGGCTCAGGGCCGGGAGAGGCTGCTTTCCAGTGCTATGTCACAGATAAGTAACATACTCAGATGAGGGGACCCCAAGAGGAGGAGGAATCAAGTCACCCTCCCTGGCTCCATTCTTGGAAAAATCTTGCCACAAGTACATTCCCTCTTCACTGTGGTGGGAGTTGAAGGTGGACAAGGGAAGTCAGTCCTTCACCTTGAGGGAGAAAGGGCCGCCTACTAAGGCCGTGGGCCATGGTGCCGGATGTGCCATAAATGGTAGCTGCCGCTGTCCTTGTCATCACCACCACCACCACCATCATCATCGCCATCATCTATACCTATCCTGTGACCCATTCAGAAATCTGTGTTCTCCTCCTCGATTCATGGGAATTCTGTGTTCTTGATGCCCTCGTGCTCAAGAATCTCCTAACAGTTCCTGACCCAGGGCTGAATTCTGATGTCAGTATCCTTCCCTTCCCCATGACAGCTTCCGATCTCATGTCCCAAAAATGCCTTTGAAAGCAGAAGGCTGGGCACAGTGGCTTACGCCTGTAATAATCCCAGCACTTTGGGACGCTAAGGCAAGTGGATCACCTGAGGTCAGGAGTTCTAGACCATCTTGGCCAACATTGAGAAACCCTGTCTCTACTAAAAATACGAAGTTAGCCAGGCTTAATGGCGCGTGCCTGTAATCCCAGCTACTTGAGAGGCTGAGGCAGGAGAATTGCTTAAACCCGGGAGGCGGAGGTTGCGATGAGCCAAGATTGGGCCTCTCCACTCCAGCCTGGGCAACAAGAGTGAAACTCCATCTCAAAAAAAAAAAAAAAAAAGGCAGGATAATGTTGGCAATCTTGCTGTGTCATTTCTGAAGTTTACTCCAAAAAATAAAACACTCCAGTGATAGGCATGCTTAAGGGGAGCTGTGGTTGCCGCATGTTTTGATAAAGATGAAATTTATTTATTTATTTATTTTTATTTATTTATTTATTTTTATTTATTTATTTTTTTTTTTTGAGACGGAGTTTCACTCTTGTTACCCAGGCTGGAGTGCAATGGCGCGATCTCGGCTCACTGCAACCTCCGCCCCGCTGGGTTCAGGCAATTCTCCTGCCTCAACCTCCTCAGTAGCTGGGATTACAGGCACGCGCCACCATGCCCAGCTAATGTTTTTTTTGTATTTTTAGTAGAGACGGGGTTTCACCATGTTGACCAGGATGGTCTCGATCTCCTGACCTCGTGATCCACCCGCCTCGGCCTCCCAAAGTGCTGGGATTACAGGCTTGAGCCACCGCGCCCGGTCAAGATGAAATTTATTAAAAAGCAGAAGAACCTCCGCTAAACACCTCCTTCCCCATTGACACTGGGAGGGATACAGAAGGCTTCTTGGGGCTGGTTGGTTTGTTTTAAAAGTTACTCAGCATTGAGAATGCTCAGAAAGGGTTTCCCAGAACATTGAAGGATGGGAAACTGTTCATGCTTAGTTTGCTGAAGGGGCTGCGGCTGCTCAGGCTGGAGAAGAGATGACTCAGAGTGTGTGAGCTGCCCTTTGCCGGGAAGCAGGGCAGGCACATTTAGTGCAGCCCAGGGCACATTTGATCCCGCAGGTGGCACATAGCCCCCGACAGTCCATGTAGGTTCAAGAGCAGTAGATTCTCTAGGCTCTGCCATTCCTGGGGTCCATGAACATGGCTTTAAGGTGGGAAGTGGGTGGGCTGAGCCAGCTCCCATCCAGGGACTTTCCCACCTCTGCAGGTTTGATCCAAAGAAAGGATTTTGGTGCCAACTGCTCGAAGGAGGAAAAACCAAGTGTCTGGGCAAAAGCAAGGGCCGGAAATATCCCGAGATGGACTTGGATGTAAGTGGTGGACACACTACCTGTGGCAGCTGCATAAGTGTAAGGGCCCATGTATGGGGTTGGGGGGGCCTCTCTTCCCTTTATCATGCGCTCAGCATGTTCATGGCCTTAGCATCTCTTGGGCAGTATTTCTAAGAGGAGGAAACATGGGCTGGGGCATAGTGGGTCAGAACTGATTTTGTCAAACAAGTATTGATTACCTTCTATTAAGGGCTGAGTACTGTGGGGTTTTGAGAATGAGCCAGACATGTTCTCTGCCTTCAAGGAACTCCTGGTCTTGGCAGGAGATGAGTCACAGCACCATTAAGTAGAATATAGGCAGAGTCAGAGAGGGCACACAGGCGCTATGGGAGCTCACAACAGGGCACTTGAAGCTGAGAGGGGTAAAAAAGGCTCCTTAAAGGAGGGATGGGGGTCTCTGGAGTTGCGCCCAGAAGGACAAGATCTATTTTATAGTATTTGGACCTATGGAACGGGAGGGCAGGTAAGAACAGCATGTGTAAAAACATACGGGAACAAAAGAAGTTTTAAAAAATATGTAGGCAAAAGGTCACAGACTGTGTGTCTTGTTATTTCCTCCTTTTCCTACTTTCCTCTTTTTTTTTTAAATTTTTTAATTTTTGAGACAGGGTCTTGTTCTGTTGTCTAGGCTGGAAAGCAGTGGCGTGATCATGGCTCGTGTAGCCCCCCAGGCTCAATTGATCTTCCCGCCTCAGCCTCCCATAGTGCTGGTATTATAGGCGTGAGCCACTGTGCCTGGCCCTGCCCCGCCTCGGGTTTTGATTATTAATTCTCTCTCTTCTCTCCCTATCAGAAGAATTTTGACCTTGTGAGCTATGATGCTTCTGCCAAACGGGAATTCTCTATTGGAGGCTACCATTTAAAAGGAGATTGTGGATAAATAAGAGGTGTATGGGGGTTGGTGCCAACAGCTTGGTGGGTTTTTTTTTTTTTCTTTTTAGATGGAGTTTTGCTCTTGTCACCCAGGCTGGAGTGCAGTGGCGTGATCTTGGCTCACTGCAACCTCTGCCTCCCAGGCTCAAAAGATTCTCCTGCACCAACCTCCTGAGTAGCTGGGATTATAGGTGCTCACCACCACACCCAGCTAATTTTTGTATTTTAATAGAGACGGGGTTTCACCATGTTGGCCAGGCTGGTCTTGAACTCCTGACCTCAGGTGATCCGCACACCTTGGCCTCCCAAAGTGCTGGGATTACAGGCATGAGCCACCATGCCTGGCTGAGCATGGTGGTTTTAAAGAGGAGGTCTCTCTTAAGTCAGCACATCACCAAGGTCTGAGTTTTCCTTCCTGTTACAGTCCCGAGCCTTCCTGAAGGACTATTACCGGGACCACAACATCGAGCTCTCCAAGCTGCTGTACAAGATGGGCCAGACGCTTCCCACTTGGCTACGCGAGGACCTCCAGAACACCAGGTAGCCACGGCCACTGCAGCCAGACTGAACGTTTGTGACAGCAGGGATGTCCCACCACACGCTGAGCCAGACTGACCTGCAGAGTGGGGAGCTGGGCCGGGGCAGCCGCGTGCTTATGAGCAATACTCTGTGGAGGCCTGGTGGGGCCAGGGGAGCCCAGGCGGGTCCGCAAGCGCCTCGGAGCACCCACCGCTGGGTCTATGGCCTATGGGACTTCCCTCGCCAGCAGAGGTCCATTCCGTTCCCAGCTGCTCCTGGGGAGGCCGCTTCCTGGTAGGAGGGAGTCTGCGAGACTCTTCTGTCCCTCACTGTGTTCCACCCACGTCCCCTCTCTTCACCTACCACTCCCTGCTTCCTCAGGGTGCCCCTCAGTATTCGCTGCCATATGCCCCTGTCCTCCAGACTATAGGAGAGGAGAGCCTTTTGCCAAACCAGGGAGAGAGACTGGACATTTCTCTGACTGTTTTGAGCCAGGCTCTTTCAAAGAGCCAGCTGGGTCCCCAGAGTCGGTCCCTAGGCTGGATGGGAGGGTGACCACCTCGAGCGGATGCGCAGTCTCTACTTCTGGTTCCTACGTTCGGGTCTCACCCTCCCGTTCTGGGGAAGGAATCTCTGGTTCCCACAGTTTCCACCCCATCCTCAAGGCTTCCTGCGGGGGCTTTGGGGCACTGCCTTGCCATGGGGCCCAGAGACCTGGACCCTACCTGCGCCCCCTTTCTTCCTCCTGGGATATGACATGTGTGGTGTTTCCTGTGGTAAAAAACTGAGGTGGGCCAGGAGTCTGCCAGTATACATGTTCCTGAGTGCAGACTCGGTCCCCACACCCTCCCAGCCTCACGCCCAGGCAGACGTGGGCGAGGTGGTGAGACTGCCGGCCCCCTGTGGCTGAGGGCTCCCAGAGACCCCCTTAACCTCCCAAATACTAAGAAGCTAAAGTATTTTAATATTTTTTTTTCTTGGTGCCAGAGTTTATACCCTGGGTGCTGGGGTCACACTGTGTTATATATATATATATATATATATAATGTGTATATATATATATTCTATTTTTTTTGGTTGGGTTTGTTTTTAATTCAGTCATACAAAATGGTAGTAAGCCCCAGTCTCAAGGGGCGTCCTGTCTTAGAGCTAGAGATGAGGTGTCAGGGAGGGAGGGCGTGTCCTCAGTGGCCTGGGGGCTGAGGGGACAGTTGGAAGGGGCGCTCCCCAGTGCTGTGGCTGCCCTGGGGCCACCGCAGGTGAACACAGGTGGTGAGATGGCCGGGAAGACCAGCTGTCGCCAGGACATCAGGCTGCTCGATGTCCAGTGACCCTGAAGGAATTTCAGCCAAAGGAGGCCACCAGGGCTGAGCTAGAACTGGGACAAGCAGCTGGCCCGCCCCCTCTCCCTCACATGGTGCTAGGCTGGGAGCTGCCCTGAGAGCTGGGATGCCCCCCAGGGCCCACAGAACTGTCTCCAGGCCCCCTGTAGACAGTGGGATCTCTGGGCTGATTTCTGGTTGGGGGTCTGCTCCTACTCCCCCCCCCCCCCCCCCCCCCCCGTTTAACAATGTGAAGTGACTGAGGTTGGGGTGCCTCTCCCTGGCCCCCTCCAACTGCCAAATTCCGCTTCCCCCAACACCCAGGAAATACTTTCTGGAGAGCCTTGTCTTGTTCAGAAGACTCTAGCATCATGGGGCTGGAAGGTCCTTTGACGGGTATGAAACAGGTCCAGAAAGGGGAGGTGGCCTGCTTGGCTGATGTCATGGAGCTGGCTGGGAGCAGGGCAGAGCGTTGAACCCGAGGCTCCTGGTTCCAAGTCCTATCGAGCTTCTTCCAGTGCCACACTGCCTCTGAGCCCATCCTTGGGACCCTACTCTGTGTCAGGTTCCTGTCCCTCCCTCCGTCACACCGTGGTCATTCCAGGATATGGGGACAAACCACTCCTTCCCAGCCAGGGTGCCTTTGAGCCTTCTCATTCCCAGGTCTGCGTTTGCATCCCTGTGGTGTTCTCCTCTCTCAAGAGGCCTTCCCCAGCCTGCGGGGGCCTGGGTCTGTTCTGAGCTGATTCCCTTTTCTCCAGTTCTCTGCTGGGAGGAGGAAAGTTGGACAGTCCCCGGGACCAGCTGCAGGTGGTTTGTTAGAATACAGAACGGTGTCCCCATCGTGCTTCTCAGTGGGGTCTGCAAGCCTGGGAAATTTGGGCGTCGTTGGCCCAGCAGGGATGAGAAGCAAAGTGAGGGCAGGGTGGCATGTCTACTTGTACACTCATGAAGACTTGCCCACGCCATGGAACCAGGGCCTCCTGGAGAGGGGCCGTGACTTCCATAGTTCCAGCCCTGAGCCTCACTTCCCATCCGTCAGGGAGGGGACCGGGCTGTAGGGTGGATGAGGATCTTACAGCTCCCAGGTTCTGAAATTGACTCTCTGGGCCCGGAGGCCTCTCTCGCTGAGCCTGGAAGGCAGGAAAGGCGGGCTGGCCTGGGGCAGGAGCTCCACTTCTTTCTGCCTCTGGCTGTGGGAAGGAGCAGGCAGTTGGAAATCCTGTGGCAGCAGAGATCGTCTGGATTTTTGCCTGGGCCCTTCTGTGAGCCTGGGGACTGGACCTGCCACAGGTTCTAAGTCTGTCTGTCTAGGTCACTGCTGCCACTTCCACTCCCACTAACAGACCTTTCTTGAAGACCCACTAGGCCCAGACGCTGCTGGGACTTGCCGGTATGGGGGATGGAAGGAGAGGCACTTAAGCTGCGTGAGGGGCTGTCAGCTAATGGGTACACGGACACGCCTTCCAAGAAGAGAAAACCACAGGTGCATGGGGCAGCATGGTCAGTCTTTAACGCCCACCAATTCACTCTAAGCATTTGGCCAAAACTGGGAGAGAGAAATGGCTGAAATTGTTCAGGTGGCTTCACCGTCTATTCTGTGGTCCCCTCCATGAGCCTTTGCCCCAGGGTGAGGGCAGGCAGGAGTGTCACTGCAGCTGCCTCAGTCATTCAGGGTTCCAGAGCCTTCTGTGGTGGAGCATTTGGCGGCTTGGAGGATGTATCTGAAGTTTAAAAATGGGCCTTTTCTGAGCAGTCAGAAAGACGAGCAGTCAGCGCTTCTCGGCCCAGCTAAGGAAGCCCTCTGCTCCCAGCAGAGGAGAGCTGCACCGACCTGCAGAGGTTGAGCGTGCCCATGGCTTGTTAGTGGGAAGAGCAAGTACAAAAATGTTTTACCAAACATTTAATTTAATTATGAATGCCCACTCCCCAGCATCTAGATCTAAAATTGTTAACATTTTGCCACATCTGTTTTCCTCCCTCTGTGTACATATATATTTTTTCTGGCCTAATTTAAAAGTACATGGCAAACATCATGAAACTTCACCCCTGAAAGCTTCAGCCTGCATCTCCTAAGAGCTGGGGCTTTCTCCTGCACGTTGGCCCAGTATCACAGCCAAGACGAGAAGTCATTTCCCAAGGACACCTGCTGTCCACTCTGTGTTCAGTTCCCCCAGTTGTCTCCCAGGTAACTCGTGCCTGGTTTTGGAATCAGCATCCAGTCACGGTGCACACGTTGCATTTGCTAACTATGTTTTTAAAGTCTCCTTGAATGCTGAAAGGTCTTCTCTCAGCTCACGTGGAGGTTTTCGATGATGTTGTTTTTGAGGCCCTCGGCCTGCTGTCATGTTGACACCCCACGTTCTGCATTTGTCAGATTGTTTCCTCATGGTGTCGCATAACCACTTATTCTATCCCCCGTACTTTCAAGGCTAATTTAGGCTCCATGGGATTTTGCCTTTTGTGCTGACTTGACAACTTCACTCCTGCCTAAGATGCACCTCCACTGTCACCTGTACCAAGTGCCAAAACAGCAGAGGGGCCGGTTAGAGCAGGAGCTCCTGGGAGGGCCCGGGAGGGCTCCCTGGAGAGGGCCACACATCTGGGCCTCGGAAGGAACGACACAGGGCTCTGGAAGGAGGAAGCTGCACACCTGGAGGCTGGACCTTCGACCCTGGGGATGGGCCTCAGGGCAGCAAACACAGCATATGTCTCTCTCTCGCTGTTTTGGGGTCCCAGGGTTTTCACTTCCTGGAGGCCCGTGGTCCGTGTATGCTGGAGCGGAGCCAGGCTCTGGGACACAGCAGGGAAAAGCCTCCATGGGGAACTGTGCCTCCCACAGCTGTGGTGTGAGCAGAGCTCCGGCCGGCGGCAGGAGCTGTGAAATTTTGTCCCAGCTGGCTCCATTTAGTAGCTGCCTGACATCTTCCTCCCAGGGCCTCAGTTTCTTCATCTGTAGAATGAGCAGAAAGGGGCTACAGCAGGAGTTTTCACACATCAAAGGAGGCAGCTCTGCTCTAGTTGATGTGAGGAGGAGGGGGGCCTAGACCCCCTGCTGCCCAGGCCCTTGAGGACACACTGGGTTCCTGGCTTGCCAGCTCTGGGCTGGATGCTCTCGCCAGCTCGGATGGCTGGAGAGTTTTCAGTTTTTCCGAGGGACAGGCATAGGGTTTATGTGGGGTCAACGCTGAGAACCTGGGGGAAACTGGCCGCATTTTATCCTGAGAAGTTCGTCCCTGCTGTTCTTCCTCTTTCTGGCCCTGGAGGAGGATGAGTGAGGAGAGGGTTTTCTACGACTGTGTTAGCTTTTGTTATTAGCAAGAGGGCTCCTTTTGTAATTTGTGCATGAAATTCATGTCATTTCCTGGGAGAGGAGAGGGCTGACTGGAGAGGGTGGGGGGCACATTAGGGGAGCAGGCAGAGGTTTCCTTCCCTCATGGGGGGGTGGGGAGAGGGGGCTCTACCCGGTTCACCTGATGAGGGCTCTCAAACCAGCCGTTTTGGGTTGTGTTAAAGGTGAGACCTTCCTCCATTAATGTACAATCTCGAACTAACTGCTAATAAAGTGGGGTTCTGTTTGTACACCCTGGTGCTGTCTGTCTGACCTTTTTACGAGGCCTGCAGGGGAGGGTGGAGTGGGGGTGTTTGCATGCACAGCCAAAGCCCACGCGTTCCCGCCACCTCAGGCAGGCACACCATTCACTATACCATGATGATTTGGTTGAAAGTAATGAACTCAGTCTCCAAGTCCTGCCAGGGAAATTTCTATACAATTTTCTGATTTCTGACAGATCTATACAGTATGTCCATCGTGGAAAGAGAACACTACAGTTTGTCTTTTTCCTGGGGTTGTAGCTATATGTATATCACATCAAACAAATACATACATGGTGACTTGGTCAACCAGATCATTTCCACTGGGTTATAAATGGAAGCTTTTCCAGATGGAGCAGAGGCCCAGCCTAGGGCAGCCACAGGGGCACTCAGATGACAAGGAGTCCTCAGGCTGGACTGCTCAGAAGCCCAGGGGGCTGAGCACTGGATGGAGAGGAGACTCGGAGGCTGGAACCATTTCCGCTACTAATGTATATTGCAGCCAGGGGCAAGCCACTTTTACTGTTTTATTCCATTTCCCTCACCTTTTAGACACGTGGAGGGAGTTGGACTCTGTGGCCTCACTTGGAGGACTTGCCTAACATGCAGATTCTCAGGTCTACTTCCAGAGATTCAACTCCAGCAGATGTGGGGTGGGGCCCAGCATCTTTAACAAGCCCTCCGGTACACCGAGGCAGCCCACTTTAGGAAGCTCTGACTCGGATCCATGGTTCCTGTGGGTTCTACTTAGTACGGAAAGCCCCACTGTCCAGGAGAACTTTGGGTAAACCAAATGACTTTGCAGCCCTCACAGCCTAATGAGGCCAGACTCCAGTTTGCCTGGAGAAGGAGGGTTCACACAAGCAGGGGCCAGGCCAGTGTCTGCAGTGCAGGTGATCAGACCTGCTCCTTCAGAATCCCCTTGGGAAGCTTTAAACAATATATATTCCTGGGCTCCCCCCAAATCTGCTCATTCAGAATCTCTGGGGTGGAACCCAGCACTGTGTACTTTATTTATTTATTTTTTGAGATAGAGTCTCACTTGTTGCCAGGCTGTGGAGTGCAGTGGCATGATCTCGGCTCACTCAAACCTCTGCCTCCTGGGTTCAAGCAATTCTTCTGCCTCAGCCTCTCAAGTAGCTGGGATTACAGGCGCACACCACCAGGCCCAGCTAATTTTTGTATTTTTAGTAGAGACAGGGTTTCAGCATGTTGGCCGGATGGTCTCGATCTCTTGACCTCATGATCTGCCCGCCTCAGCCTCCCAAAGTGCTGGGATTACAGGCGTGAGCCACCGTGCCTGGTCACTATACTTTAACAGACTCCTTGGTGCTCAGGAAAGTTTGGGAACATTGAATCAGGGCATGTATGTCAGAGAAAAGGTCCCCAGAAATGTGCACAGACCGCTTCTGAGGGGCAGAGGAGAGGCATGCTGGGGGTGCAGCTGGACAGTCCTGCTTCCCAGGACCCAGTGTGCTCAAAGTGAACACCCCAGAATACCACCTCTGAAGACACAAGGGCAGCACCGGCAGAGCCTTCTTTGGAGTTCATCGGCTGGGAGCTTGGTACAGGCTGGGTGGCCCTCAGCAGCAAGAACACAGCTGGTGGCTGCACTGGAGTTCCAGAGGCATGGTGTGGAAGGGTGTCTGTACCAGCCGCGGGCTCAGCCTGCAACAGAGGCTTTTGAATTAAATACAGCTGGGATTCTGTTTTGAAAGACTTACCTAATTGAAAACCAGGTAGAGGTGGGGGTGCTGTCTAGTTGGAGTGGGGGTGAAGCTCTGGACTTTCCCAGCGCACCTCCTCCCTGTCTCAGCCTATCTTGGAACCCTAAGTTTCCTGGAAACACTGTGGAAACCCAGTCCAGTTGCTTTCAGAGGTCCCAAAAGTCCCCAAAGCGTTAATGAATAGTAGTTCATCAGCCCCTCCTCATCCCCCATGGCGAGGAGTCCACCCAGGAAATCTGGTACCCCAGGAGGGATTCGGGCTTCTAGAGGTAGGCAGTTCCTTGGAGAAGCCTGGATGATGTGCACTGGGCAGTGTGTTTCACAAAAGCAAAATGCTGGGAACAACCTAGATGTCCATCCACAGGGGATCAGCTAAGTAACCTCCAGTGTATCCATTCACTATACCATGATGATTTGGTTGAAAGTAATGAGCTCAGTCTCCAAGTCCTGCCAGGGAAATTTCTATACAATTTTCTGATTTCTGACAGATCTATACAGTATGTCCATCGTGGAAAGAGAACACTACAGTTTGTCTTTTTCCTGGGGTTGTAGCTATATGTATATCACATCAAACTAATAGTAGGGGAGGAAAGATTGAGAAGGGGGACTTTCAAAGGGGACTTTAGTCTTGGCTGAAATATGTATAAAATAAGGATAATGTATTTGCATATCATTTGTGGAATGAAAAAGTCTTAATGAAAAAAAGAAATGGACAAAGCAGAAAGGGGGACTCCAAGCAGCTAGACTTACACAGCGATGCCATGAAGGCCAACACTGCTTTACGCAGCCCTTAAGCTCCCATGGAGTTAGGATCTGGAGGAGGCCCAGGGTGCTGCTGATGAATTTCTTGCCTTGCTGCATTTATCCTAAGCATCAGTGAAGACCCGAGCTGAGGATCCTGACCTCCATGTGACTGTAGGCCAGTCTCAGCTCCTCTCTGGCCCTGGGAGCTGAGCTTCCCTGAGCTGACAGATGGGGAAGCTAGAGTTAATATCACCAGTGCTGGGACAAACTGATATCATGTGTCTCCCGATGTGATGCAATAAGAAGGACCCAGTGCAACACCTGTGAACTTCCTAACAAAAACATGGGACACAAATCCTGCCAAGAGGAAGAGACAGACACATCCTTATCGAGGGACATTTTGCAAAATAACTGGCCTGAACTCCAACAATGTCAAGGTGATGAAAGATATAGAAAAGCTGAGAAATAATTCAGGATTAAAGGCTGCTAAAGAGATGTGGTAAACCAATGTCATGTGTGAGCCTGGTGGGGTCCTCCCGGACCGTGAAACAATGAACTAAATATAAGGGATACCATAGAGACACCTGGCAGAATGTCAAGGTGAACCGTGTGTATTTGATAATACTATTTGATCGATGTTCAATTTTCTGATTTTGATTTTACTGTTATGTAAGAGTTTCTAATTGTTCTCCAGAAGTACATGTGAGATATTAGTTTTTTGAAATTACTTTTGCACCAACCTAATATTTAGGAGTAAAAAGGAAGAAATGGAACTGAATTTTGATTCCTGTTCTTTCTCTGGTGGTACTAGATGGTAGGCACTCATCAGATGCAGTCCAAAAGGTATCCACCAGGGGGCACTGTCACCCCAGCGTCTCACAGTGTAGTCAGTGTGAATGCCTCCCTGGAAGACTGGGAGGGTGGTTAATGGTAGTGGGGGCAATAATATTATAATATTAATATCAACGAATTAAATAATATAAATAATAAAAAGTATTTCTCATTCTGTGTCAGGCAGGCCCTCTGCTTATCAAGAGCTATCTTTAAAGTTTTTAATTTATTTTTGAGACAGCTCTGTCACCCACGCTGGAGTGCAGTGGGGTGATCTTGGCCCACTGCAGCCTCAAGCTCCTGGGCTCAAGCCGTCTGCCCACGTCAGCCTTCTGAGTAGCTGGGATTACAGCATACGCCACGATGCCTGGCTAATTTTTGTATTTTTTGTAAAAATGGGGTTTTGCCATGTGGCCCAGGCTGGTCTTGAACTCCTGGCCTCAAGTGATCCTCCTGCCTCAGCCTCCTGAACTGCAGGGATTACAGGCATGAGCCACCTCACCTGGCCTCTTAATCCTCATAACAGTCCTCTGAGGTAGGTGTTATCACTCCCATTGTATATTTGAGGAATTTGAGTTCAGAGAGGTTTAGTAACTGCCAGGATCACAGAGCTGGTAGTCATTGGTCCATGAGACTCCACAGCCTGGAGTCCACTAGGCTGGCCTGCCTCCTGGGCCTGAGGCTGGGAATGTGTCCTGGCACGGAGAAGTGCCATGACCGTGAGGCAGAGTGGGACAACTCACCTGCCTGGCCCTGCCCTTTTCAGGGCTGGGGACTGAGTGGTCCTGGGCAGCCGTTAAAGGTGCTGAAAATATGTGTACCTACAAATCTAAAAGAAAAGTACAAACAGGGAATGCTGTCACATGCGTCTCCTTCCACTCTCTTTCTTTTGTCCTCAACTCCCTTCAGAGGAAACCACCATTAGCAGTTTCTGTGGCTCTTTCTAGAAACTGTTTTACATATAAAAAGAGTTGAGTGCACATGCATGCCCTGCTGGTGTGTACCCTCATGCTCTTCTGCACTGTACTTCATGGGCACCTCTGGGCAGTGGGTGGAGGGTATTTACTGCTCTGCATGGCAGCAGAGGGCTCCTCTGCATGGGTACTTGGATGGAGGGTATCTGTTGCTTTGCATGGCAGCAGATGGAGGGCCCCTCTGCATGGGTACTTAGAGCTCTGCTCTATTACACATTCCAGGGAGTGGGGGTAGAAACTGGAGCTTGAATTCCTTGGCCTTTGCCCCATTCTGGGATGTTCCCCCTTGGGAAGGAATAGGCTGCACAGCACAGTAGTCAAAATATGCACAGCTGGGTAGATCTGGTTTCAAATTCAGACTCAGCATTGGCTGTGTGATCTTGGTCAAGTACTTCATGTCTCTGAACCTCACTCTCTGCTTTTGTGAAATGGGAATAATCACAGGACCAAGGTGGCAGGGATGTTGTGAGGAGTGAAGAGACAGTGTCTGGAAAGCCCTCAGCAGGAGCCTGCTACACAGTGAGTGCTCACTACAGTCTTCGTCCGTTCCTGGTATCACATACATGCAGACCCCATTTTGGAGCCTGAGCCTGGGGGTGGCACTGCCACGTTTGTCCTCAGGCTGATCAGGATGGGCTGATGAGTCAAGTGGCCCACCCAGTTCGGAAACTCATTACATTTGATTGTTCTTCCTGGGACCTTGAAGTGGAAGTG